TGTGTAATATGAATTACTAGAAACTACTTTGAATTACTTTGAATTACTAGAAACTACCTTAAATTACTAGAAACTACTATGAACAAAAAATAAACTACCTTGAATTACTAGAAACTACTACGAACAAAAAAAAAAAAGTGGGGCAGTGAGAAAAATAGTGGGGTACTTAGAATAGTTATTTTTCAACTGGGGTATATCAGAATACTTTCCGCCAAACAATGGAACTACGATTTCCACAGCTCGACAAATCCCGTATCACATACGAATAAATAAAGAGAACACCAAGCCAGTTTATCATGTTTTGCCTTAATGGACCCAGCCATTCCAGGATACCCATCGGGTCGGGTTCTGAATTCGATATGGGTTAGATAATAGGAGTATGTCTAAAACGTTTTACAAAAATGAAGTTCTTTGATAACATTATGTTGTTCAGTCAAATGTAGCATTGAAGCAAGTAAGCACTATTAAACGGCATACCATAAAACCTTGTTGAAAATGTTTAATACAAATTTAGAAGAAGAATATGAACTAAACAAAACCAAGACGTGGTAGTAATCTAGCGAATTAATCAAATTTTGGGCTAATTTATGTTTTATAAATTAAACAAAGCCCATATATATTGTGTGACTGTGTAGCCCAGATTCCTTTTAAACTATGAGTGACAAACCTTGGGGCTTGGAGTATGTTGTAAGTGGGAACCTCGAATGCTTCTGAAATTAAAATTTAGAAAAATAGTTAACAAAACTAATCAGTAAAAAAATTAGTCAAAGAATCTTTCCTCGTGAAAAACGAGCCAAACAAGCGACTCAACGGCTTTCTATGGTTCGTTCGACGATCACGTACGTTCAACTAATCAATTCCATTCGTGGAAAAGATATAATAATAATAAAGGTATAGTATCGTGTCAATAAAATATTTGTGAACATGTCCTTTAAATAGTAAAATATCATGTTATTTACGATATAATCGTCAGCTTAGATTCATGCATTATAGTATGTTTTTCATCATTAAAGGTTTTCTCTTAAGGGCTTTTGCCTAGTTTTACAGAAAACAAAACGAACAATTAAAATAAGATATGTAAGTGTCTTCCGTTTTTATGTTTATTCAGTTAACTTTTGACTATTTGTATTGAAAGAGTCAATGTTCACTAAATGCAATAGATCTGTTCTATGTTGGCTAAATCGGATAACAAATATGTCTTGTCTTGCGGTATAATTAATCCGTTTAATTCGGTTTTTAATTTTCTGTTTAGTCTTTTTTTCTTTATCTTGTATGTACTTTATCGTTATTTTTAGTAAAATAAAAATATCATTTTGTGATGAATTATATATAGATGTTTTGATGTTTGTTCGTCAAAATAGTAACTAAGATTTATTACGTTATTGATAGTACTACAGTTTGAACACTGAAAATCAGGTATAAATCGTATTTTCTTATACATGCATGCATTCGCTTATTAGCTTAAATTCTATCTTATTTCCATATATTGATAAGTTAATATACTTACTTCAACTAAAACATAAATCTAACTGAACATGAATTTATTATTATTAATCCGTTTTAGTAAACTCATTAGTATGTTATGCTTGCTAAACATCTTATACTAAAGCAACTTTTTTATTTGATCGAAATTATCGAAGCAAGGTTAGTGTAACATATTAAAGTTAGCTAAATTATTTGTAATGTTAAAGTCAAGGTATACATCATCGTCTATTAGTGCTCAAACTTATTAAAATCAAGCTATTAACACTCATTTGTGATGTAAAAAAAACATTTATTCGTAGGAAACAATATAAACGAAAACTTGGAGGAAAAAAAAAGAAAAAGAAAAGAAATTAATTGTACAGCTAAAAGAAAAGCTTACTATCCTCTTTTGCAAGTTATTCTTATTCTATGTATCTGAGTTTTAGTGCCGTGATATTTTAATGCTTAACTAATATTAAATCAGCATTTGTTGTCGACAAAATATCTGGCCAGACTGAGTTAGACCTTCTATGTCAATTACATAATGTTTGATTGTTATCTTTCATCAATCGCCATGGTTAGAACCATATAAACTTATAATTACCAACTAAGACCATCAATAACCCAAGATTCTTAGGATAAAGTTTTTATCGGAAGTTTAAAAAGTGTTTCTTAACTTCCACTAAAAACCATATCTTAATCGATTATTTAAGAATTTATTCTTAATTTGTTTAGTTAAAAGTTAGGAAACAGTTTTTTAACTTTCGCTAAATACTCTATCCTAAGAACCTGAGCAAGGAAGGCAAAATTTTTAGTTTCACTAAAGATGGTTATTATTTCACAGAAATAATAAGTTTTAGTAGATAATTAAAGATCAAAAATTCCTAACTATATAAAATACATTTTATGTAACAAAATTACAAAGGTTACGCGTGGTCTAGTGGTTTAATCTTTACTTGTTAACTATCCAGTCCCGGTTCATCACCCAATAGTCTCAGTTTTATTTTTTATTTTTATATTTTTTACTTAATGGCAATTTTGTAATTTTCTTTTTATCTTCTTATTAGGGTTTTTCCGTTTGCTATAACTTTTGTTTGCAGCCGCCATCGCTTTAGTTGTTGTTTACACATTAAAACTATAGATCTATCAACGATTCTGATCAAAATCGCGAAAACATAGATTTTTTGCATCACACCGCCTAATTGTCCGATTGGTTGCAAATCGCAACGGTAGAGTGCTGCATCACGCTTACTCGCCAGAAAATCGCACATCCGCGTCGAATTTTAAAACCAGGTATAAACATGATGTGTCCATCAATTCTTTTCATTTGTATGCATCTTTAAAGAAGATAAATTTCAAAAATAAATATTTTTTGGTTATACATATCCGGTTTTACACATTTTTATTTGTTAATCATATGTTCAACATAATAATGTACTAACCGTCAAGTAAAGATGGAATCCACTTACCGAGAGTGAACACGAGAATCCGCTGACAATAATAGCCAGAACGTTACATTTTCATTATCAACCACTTATGCATGAAAATCTCTTTATATTTAACTTTGTTTGAAACCATATTAACATTTACTTTTACTACAACTTTTTTTGAGGTTATCCATGTTCGTTTATGGAGGTTTCTAACCGTGTTAAACGTAATACAAAAAATAATCTGTTAGCCGTCAAATTAGAATGGAACTCATATACTGAAATCGAACACGAGAATTCACTGATAATAATAATCGAAATGTTACATTTCTTTTATCAACCACTTTTGCATGAAAATCTCTCCTATATTAATACTAAGTTCTTAAAGTAAATTACTACTAACTTTTCACTAAAATATTTTATTGGATATCTATATTCATTATGTAGTATCACTATAATGTACTAATCGTCAAATAAGAATGAAACCCATATGCCAAAAGTGAACAAAATAAATTACTGAAAATAATGGCGACGTTACATTATTTTTATTAACCACTTGTGCATGAAAATCTCTCCTATATTAACACTAACTTTTTTTAAAGCATATTACTACTATTTTTTTCACTAAAATCTTCTTGGATATATATATTCATTATGTAATATCACTATAATGCACTAATTGTCAAATAAGAATGGAACCTATATGTCGAGAACGACAAAAGAAATTACTGATAATAATGGTCTGGACGTTACATAATTTTATCAACCATTTTTGTATGAAAATCTCTCATATGTTAACAATAACTTTTTAAAGCATATTACTACTAACTTTTCACTAAAATCTTTTCTTAGATATCTATATTCATTATATAATATCACCATAATGCACTAATCGTCAAATAAGAATGGAACCCATATGCCGAGAACGACAAAATAAATTACTGATAATAATGGTGAGGACGTTACATTATTTTTATCAACCACTTTTGCATAAACATCTNCTTTTTAAAGCATATTACTACTAACTTTTCACTAAAATCTTTTCTTAGATATCTATATTCATTATATAATATCACCATAATGCACTAATCGTCAAATAAGAATGGAACCCATATGCCGAGAACGACAAAATAAATTACTGATAATAATGGTGAGGACGTTACATTATTTTTATCAACCACTTTTGCATAAACATCTCTCCTATATTAACATTAACTTTTTAAAGCATATTACTACTAGCTTTTCACTAAAATATTTTCTTGGATATCTATATTCATTATGTAATATCACTATAATGCACTATTCGTCAAATAAGAATAGAACCCATATGTCGAAAACGACAAAAGAAACTACTGACAGTAATGGCCGGGAGGTTACATTTTCTTTTACCAACCACTTTTGCATAAAAATCTCTCCTATATTAATATTAACTTTTTAAAGCATATTACTACTAACTTTTCACTAAAATATTTTCTTGGATATCTATATTCATTATGTAATATCACTATAATGCACTACTCGTCAAATAAAAATAGAACCCATATGTCGAAAACGACAAAGGAAACTACTGACAGTCTTGGCCGGGAGGTTACATTTTCTTTTACCAACCACTTTTGCATACAAATCTCTCATATATTAACATTAACTTTTTAAAGCATATTACTACTAAACTTTCCCTAAAATATTTTCTTGGATATCTATATTCATTATGTAATATCACTATAATGCACTACTCGTCAAATAAGAATAGAACCCATACGCCGAGAACGAACAAAACAAAATTACTGACTGCAATGGCCGGGAGGTTACATTTTCTTTTACCAACCAGATTTTATATATATTTTATGCATGGAAATCTCTTAGTATATTAAAACTAAACTAGTAAGTAGTAAATATACGAGAATTTTCTCCATGCAGCATAAGCTATAGGATAAAAAATGGAGCAGATTTATACAAACGCATGCATTGGCTATTGCGTATTAATTAAAGAGAAGAATAATTTTGTCTGATTATAATGTGATTTTGCTATTTATTTACACCTATTTTCCCCCATAAAATGTTATCATTCTCTTTGAGTCTTTTTCTTCTTCTTCTTCTTCATATTCATCACACCACTCTCTCTCTCTCTCTATCTAACGGCAGAGCTGACTCAGCTCCTCCGGCATTGACCTCTCCCTAGAGTAATCAGAAACCTCTCACGCTCCCTTAGATCGGTGACCTTCAAGCTCCATTTTCCAATTTATTTCCTTTTCTCTTAATATCTATAATTTTTTGTTTCTGTTAAATTACGAGATCATGAACCGATCTACTGATAATCTATTTTCATCAATGTGTTAAATTCTATTTCCTGATCATGATCTCAGCAATTAACAACACCTGAACTCGATTCTGCCTAATTAAAACCCAGATTTGCTTTTATAATTCGTCCTGCTTTTTTTGCGTTTTATAGAATTTATTTTTATGGATTTTTTTCACCATCTCTTGTAATTCAATGTGTCCGTTGACGAGAATAAAAAGTATCTGAGGAAATCAATTTGTTGCGTTTTATGGTTGCAGATTCTTAAGTTAAAAAAAAGGAGTGATCGTCTCCTCCTCTCTCGCATGGTTTCAATGTTTGGTTTTTAAGGCTGAACAGATTTTTTTTTGTGAAGAAAATTTGGGGATGAGCTCTAGAGGTGATTTTGGGGATGGTTATGTCCCAGTCCCTGTGGAGAATCAATTTATGAGTTCTTGGACTCCAATCACATCCATGAAGCCCATGCAAGGTGGAGTAGATGAGAGAGTGATCCACCAAGAGCCAGGTGGTGGTTTCTACACAGAGCAGAGAGGAGATATTTTGGGAAGGAGCAGTTTAGCTTCTTCTGAAGGTGGATATAATGGGTTTGAATTGGACGATTTGTTGGATACTGATCAGATGCCTTTCTCCTTTACAAGCTTGTTGAGTGGTGGAGATCATTTGTTCCAGGTTCCTCAATGTGAGTGATCATATCTATTTTTTGCAGTTTTTTTTTTGTGTGTATGTGTGTGTGTGGACATCGTTATAGTTGTTAGTGTGGAACATTGCTTAGATCTTATAGTATTGTGTTGGTCTTTGCGTGAATAAAAATAGGAACTTTTTTAAGCGTGAGACAGACATTATGATTATTTTTCACAGGGAGTATCAGTTGTTAAAAAAGTTAAGGTTTTGCCACAGGTGGAACTTCAACGCGTAGCAGGTCTCTTTACGATCTGAATGTGCCACCTACAAGAGAAGCTGTTGGGTACATCTGTGAAAGTGCTGTTCAGTCTGTGCCTTCAACGCCTAGTCTGTGCAGAACGGGTCGAGATAATGGATTCCTGGAAACGATGAAGGGAACCACAGGGGAGAAATCTGACAACGGAATGCAGAGCGTTGTGGCGTCGTCTGTTATTAACTCGACGGAAGTTACTGAGCAGAAGGATGGCAGCAGGCAAAATGATCTGGGGTTTGATCTTAACAAGACACCTCACCAGAAACCCTCCAAAAAGAAAAAGAAGTTCATGCCTAAGGTGTTTGTGGAAGGCAAACCTATAAGGAAGCCACGCAAACCTGCATCTCAGGGAGCTGTGAAACCTAAAGCAACCGGGAGTGGCAAGAGGAAGAAAGCTCAGAAGAAAAACTTGAAAGAATCAGCAACTAACAAGCCAGCCATTGGTGGAGATATGAGCAACACAAGCCTTGAAATCACACACAAAAGTTGCAAAAAGTCTTTAGCTTTTGACTTGGAGAAAACTGGAGACGTGGGGCTAGGTGACTCTGAGTCTGAAATTTTCGAGAACACTAGTGGTTCAAACTCATTTACTGGGACCAGAGATGCCGCTGGTGGAACAATTGGTAGCTGCCTGGATTCAGTATCACAAGTAGACCAGACCAATGGATTGGTGGCTGAGAACCAGCCACTTGAAGCGTCAACTGATGTGAAACTACGCCGAGGATCAGAAGTAAACCATTCTCGAATAATGGCCAGAGACCAACAACCTGAATTAAACCAGCAACGCCAGTTCCCAATGGAAAACCAACAAGCTTGGCTTCAGATGAAAAATCAACTTTGTGGCTTTCCAGTCGGTAACCAGCAGCCTCGCTTGGCCATGGGTAACCAACAACCTCGCTTGTCCATGGGTAACCAACAACCTATGTATATGATGGGAGCCCAACGACATGCACTGGCGAGTGGAAACCAGCAACCAGGAGGTCTCCAAGCGAGCAACCAACAACCTATGTATATGATGGGAGCCAAACAACATGCACTGGTGAGTGGAAACCAGCAACCAGGAGGTCTCCAAGCGATCAACCAACAACCTATGTACATGATGGGAGCCCAACAACATGCACTGGCGAGTGGAAACCAGCAACCAGGAGGTCTCCAAGCGATCAACCAACAACCTATGTATATGATGGGAGCCCAACAACATGCACTGGCGAGTGGAAACCAGCAACCAGGAGGTCTCCAAGGGAACAACCAACAACCTATGTATATGATGGGAGCCCAACAACATGCACTGGCGAGTGGAAACCAGCAACCAGGAGGTCTCCAAGGGAACAACCAGCCTATAATTTTGAATCAGCAAACACAGCAGACTTGCTTACCTGCTGGAAATCGCCAATATGGATCACCGTCAGGCATGCAGCAGCTTGTTATGTCAACCCGGGGGCAACAACATGGGCTGCTGCTGGATAACGAGAAATCTCAGTTTCTGATGAGAAATCAGCAACCTGGTTCATCAATGATAGGCCAGCAGACTTGCTTACCTGCTGGAAATCGACATTATGAATCACCGTCAGGAATGCATCAGCTTGTTATGTCACCCAGGGACCAACAACATGGCCTGCTTCTGGATAACCAGAAATCTCAATTTCTGATGAGAAATCAGCAACCTGGTTCATCAATGAGAGGCCAGCAAACTTGCTTACCTGCTGGAAATCTACAATATGGATCACTGTCAGGTATGCAGCAGCTTGTGATGACACCCAGGGGGCAACAACATGAACAGCTGCTGGATAACCAGAAATCTCAATTTCTGATGAGTAACCAGCAACCTGGTTCATCAATGAGAGGCCAGCAACTTGTTTCATCAATGAGAGGCCATCAACCTTGCGTACCTTTGATGAACGAGCAACCTGGAACTCCTAAAAGTTTTACTCACTTGAATCAGATGGTAGCTGCCAGCATGTCATCGTCTGGGCTTCGACCTCATCCTCAATCACAAACTCCGGCAACAAATCTGTATATGGAATCTGTTTCCAGGACTTTGAATGGGACTGCAGGTACATGTCAAAGAAGCAGCATTGCTGGATACAGTTCTTTACAGCAAGATATTCATCAAGGAAATGAGTGGATCCCACATCAAGAGAGATCCAATGCTGAATCTTTTGATGTGGGCAATAAAGCCCTATCTCAAAATTTTTCTCTGCCAACTCCAGATAAGGCTAAACATCTCGAAGCCAGGGGTTCAAAGAGACAGCATGATCGTGCGATGGCACATATGCAAAACTCAGTAGCACGTTGGCCCTTGCCCCAACAGATTGCATCACAAGATGTGGAGAGACAGAACAGCAGCACGTGTGCAAAACATGTAAATGCTGCAAAGAAAATGAAAATCCAGAAAGCAGTCCAAGAAAATATGCATAGCGTGGCTCCTGAGGTAATAGATATCGAGGATGATCCAACTGATGGGGCAAGAAGAGATAAAAGTGGTGTCCTAAAAGCTCCTGCAAGAAAGGTCCAAAGAGGGAGAAAGAAAGCAGTACCCCCACCAGCCCATGCCTCAGATATTTCCTGTCTAGTTCAAAATTCTGCAGATATTGAGAAATGTATTGTCCCAAAAACTCCCGCAAGAAAGGGCCCTAAAGGGAGAAAGAAAACAGTACCTCCGCCACCCCATGCCTCAGAGATCCAGGTTTACGAGCCTACTCCAGCCAAGACACCTTCATCAAGAAGTAAGGCTAAAGAGAAAGGGATGAAGTCCAAAAAAGCCTCAGGAAAAGAAAAAGGTAATTATATTCTGCAGTCTCTGTGTGATACATTATGAGTTTATAGTAACTGATGTGTCCAAACAAGCTTCGTAATCACTGCTGGTGCGTGCGTTGTACAGGTCAATCAGGAGAACTTCTACGTGAAGATTGTATTGCAGAAATAATATACAGGTTGCAGAATCTATTACTAGGTGAGGAAAGCAGAGAACAAGAGCAAAACGCACTTGTCGTATACAGTGGAGATGGTGCAGTTGTTCCATATGAGACCAAGAAGAAAAAAGAAAGGCCTAAAGTTGACCTTGATGATGAAACATCTCGGATATGGAATCTTTTAATGGGGAAAGGAGAAAAAGAGGGCCATGAAGAGATGAATAAGAAAAAAGAGAAGTGGTGGGAAGAAGAGAGAAATGTTTTCCGAGGGAGGGCCGATTCATTTATTGCCCGTATGCACCTTGTGCAAGGTAAACACGCTTAGGTCTTTCTTTTTGTCACGTTTCATGTTTGGTTAGGAAACACAGGTATCAGTCTAAACTTTGTCCTGAATGTTCACAGGAGATAGACGTTTTTCGCCATGGAAGGGATCAGTGGTTGATTCCGTCATTGGAGTTTTCCTTACGCAGAATGTCTCAGATCACCTCTCAAGGTATATTGGTTGTTTAAGAAAATTAGCATGTCAAAAGAGAGTTCCAAAACATAGCAAATAATCAAAGGTGTTTTTACGATGCAGCTCTGCTTTCATGTCTCTAGCCGCACGATTCCCTCCAAAATCAAGCCCCAAACAAGAAGATGAAAGGAATATTAGAGGTGTAGTTGTTGAAGATCCAGAAGGATGCATTCTGAACTTAAATGACATCCCTCCGTCGCAGGAAAAGGGTCAAACTTCGTCTGACACGCAAGTTTCTGGGATTGATAGTGCATCAAAAGAGCAGCAAGCGTACTGTTCAAACTCTGGAATCGAAAGATTTAATTTCTTAGAGAACAGTAGTCAGAACTTAGAAGAGGAAGTGCTATCGTCACAAGGTTCTTTTGATCCTGCGAGTTGGACATCTCAATCGCCCGGGAGAGTTGGATCCTCTTCAGGTTCCAAATCAGACGCAGAGTTTTCAACAACCAGGTCTGAAACAAAAACTGCTAATGGATCAGCACAATCACTGCAAATTGAGAGTCCAAACTTGTCTGATGAAAGATCGCTTCTCCATCAAGAATCTGGTGATGTTCAAATACAAGAAACTTCAAATGTCGCTCAGAAGAAACCTAATATGACGGCAGATTTAGTAGATATAGAAGATTTCGGAATGAACGTTGAACCAACAAATCTCACCATGGCACGTGAGATGAAAGGAACCAAGGCTGCTGGGAAAAAGCCTACAAGCCAATGGGATAGTCTTAGAAGAGAAGTGCTGGAGAAAAAAGGGAAAAAAGAAAGAAGCAAAGACAGCATGGACTCTATAGATTATGAAGCCATTAGACGTGCTAGCATCCATGAAATTTCTGATGCCATCAAAGAAAGAGGAATGAATTACATGCTAGCTGTAAGGATTAAGGTAAATCAGTTGCTCTTAATTCTTGTCTCGAACATGAGAAAGTTATGTATGTAGTCTTATCTAATTTGATTGGAAAATATTGCAGGATTTCCTTGAAAGGATAGTCAAGGATCACGGTTCTGTTGATCTCGAATGGCTAAGGGATGTTCATCCTGATAAAGCAAAGTAACTAGTTCACATTTTTAGATGAATGTGCAACACATTTACTCCCCATTACGTCATACTGAATATTGAAACAATCTGCTCATGATCATTTCACAGGGACTATCTCTTGAGCATAAGAGGATTGGGTTTGAAAAGTGTAGAATGCGTTCGCCTCCTGACACTCCACAATCTGGCTTTCCCTGTAAGTCGGACTATCTCATTAGCTACTTGTAATTAAAAAAAACCTGGTTAATTAAGTTGGAACCATGATGTGAAGGTTGACACCAATGTCGGAAGGATAGCAGTTAGGCTGGGATGGGTGCCTCTACAACCTCTACCTGAATCACTTCAACTACACCTTCTGGAGCTGTAAGTTTCTTTGTTTATCATTCAGTGAACTAAAAATTTTTGTGCAAGTTACAACGTGCAGTGCTTCCACAGATACCCAGTGCTTGAATCCATCCAGAAGTATCTTTGGCCAAGACTCTGCCAACTCGATCAACCAACACTGTATGCTTACTAACCCCACCAAATCATCTGTTCTGAAAAACCACTTCTTTAAAATTCTTCTTCATTACCAACAATGAAATTAATTAGCTTCCTTCTATTTATTCAGGTATGAATTACACTACCAGCTGATTACGTTTGGAAAGGTATTATCGCTCTAATAGTTGAATCTGTCATATGGTAATTTAAAGCGTTTTAGGCTCCAGGTTAAATATGTGGCTCTAAATCATGTGAACTCGTGTCAGGTATTTTGCACGAAGAGTAGACCAAATTGTAATGCATGTCCCATGCGAGGAGAGTGCAGGCACTTTGCTAGTGCTTATGCTAGGTAAGCAAACCGTTCATGAATTTCTACTTTTATGCAATAATTCCGCTGCAAAAATAATAAATTTAGCTCAGTTTCATGGTAGCAAGCTGATATTAGTATTACAAAAAACACAAATATCAAAGTCGAAATCATAATCCATATGCACTTTCAAAACCTGAAGACTATATTACACATGCCAATGTAGCTATTTCTAATCTGAGTCAATGACTAATGTTGTAACAGTGCAAGACTTGCGTTGCCGGCACCAGAGGAGAGAACCTTAACCACTTCAACTATCCCAGTCCCTCCCCAGTCCTTTCCTCCTGCATCCATCCCGATGATGCAACTACCTCCTCCTCTGGAGAGTTTTCTAACAAGGGAAGCACCATCGAATGGAGGAAGCTCGGAACCCATAATAGAAGAGCCGGCTACGCCAGAGCAAGAATTCACTGAGATAACAGAGAGTGACATTGAATATGCTTACTACAACGAGGACCCTGACGAGATTCCAACAATAGAACTCAACGTTTCGCAATTCGGAAATACGCTTAAAGAACACATGAAGAATAACATGGAGCTCCAAGAAGGTGACATGTCCAGGGCTTTGGTTGCTTTGGATCCATCCACTACTTCAATTCCAACTCCCAAACTAAAGAACATTAGCCGTCTCAGGACAGAGCACCAAGTGTAAGCCAATATCTCCTACATTTAATCTTTCGTATATCACTTGGGGGAAAAGAAACATCGCTCTTAGATGGGTTTTATAGCATGCCATGGGACATCACTATGATACAATGAGACAAGGTAAATGATAAATGTGTCTTATGTTTGCAGGTACGTGCTCCCGGATTCACATCTTCTCCTCGCTGGTGTAAGAAAAATCATATATTCTATCTATACTTGATGTGTTTCATTTTAACAAGACTGATTAAAATACTCATTTGATAAAAACAGATGGATAAAAGAGAACCAGATGACCCAAGTCCTTATCTCTTAGCTATATGGACACCTGGTAAGGATAGAATGTTGCACTGTTTGCTTTCCCTGTGTCCAGTTCCATAGAAAGTAACGCTAGGACTCAAGGCATTTAAACTAATGTAATTGTTTGGTTGATAGGGGAAACGGCCAATTCGACTCAGCCGCCTGGACAGGGATGTGGAGGGCAAGCTTCTGGCAAAATGTGCTTTGACGAGGCTTGTTCAGAGTGCAACAGCGTGAGAGAAGCGAATTCACAGACAGTTAGAGGAACTCTTCTGGTGAGATTTGTCTTAGATCTTTTGTAGTGTTCGTTCATAAGAAGGGAGAAGTGAGACTACAAGTTACTGATATCGTTTTTTTTTTTTCAATCCTTCTCAGATACCTTGTCGAACTGCCATGAGAGGAAGCTTTCCCCTCAACGGCACATATTTCCAAGTGAACGAAGTAAGAAGCTATATGAAAATAGACTCAGAAACACAGCAAACCAGTTCATTCTGTTGACTATGGTTCTTGATCCTTGTCATTTTCATCTTGCAGGTATTTGCAGACCATGATTCCAGTCTCAAACCTATCGATGTTCCTAGACACTGGATATGGGATCTACCAAGAAAAACTGTTTACTTCGGGACATCGGTAACATCAATATTCAGAGGTAAAAAGCATTCACATTGATCAAATCTCCACCTTTCTTTGTCAAAAGAAAAGTTCTTAAAATGGCTTGTGGAATACATGCAGGTATGACGACAGAACAAATCCAGTACTGCTCCTGGAGAGGTACACGTCTTTACCCAGAAAAAAAACACATTCTTTCCTTATCAACAACATAGCATACACACTGTTCTGTTCTTTAACGATTTTCTGATGCAGGATTCGTCTGTGTACGAGGCTTCGAACCCAAGACCAGAGCACCTCGACCGCTGATGGCGAGGCTGCATTTCCCGATAAGCAAATTGAAGAAGAACAAAACCTGAAGAAGATCAATGGAGTAAAAGAAACAGCGTTGCTTCTCTATCCTCCTCTTAATAAAAGACAATCAAAAACCTCATCTAGACATAAAACAGAAACACCAATTAGTTATTTATGCCTTCTTTCATAGAAACAGAAGAGAGACAAAAGAAGTTAGCAAATGCCAAAGGAAGATTCATAGGTTATTTTAATTTCTCTCTAACAAATTGTAGCATTCTTGCGAATCCAAACGCATGTGAACATTTAGATGCAACCTTTTTCTCTGTCATTAACTAAAGATCATCCTTCTCTCTGTCTTTAACTATTTTTAAATGTTTAATGATGTGGTCGGTCTCCAACTAATGTTATGGGTACAAACGAACCACTAGATGCAGATCATTAAGTAATTAAGTATGCTTTGATTCACTAAAGAAAATGTAGATGATGTAATATGATAGTATTAAGTACAAAGTAGCTAGCACTTGTTTATTAAAAGAAAGAAAAAGGAAGTAGGTAGGTAGCACCAGCTAAAACTCTCACACTGATCATATTTAGCATGTGCCCAACACAAACACTAACCTTTCAGCTTAACAAATCAGCAGCAGGGTAGGTGAGCATGTGTTAGTCACTATTATCAATTACCTTTTCGCCCTCGTTTATGAATCTTCACAACCAATGATTCTCCGTCACGTGGACATTCTCTAGTAAACTTGGTGCACCAAGTTGCAGGATATCTTTCCATCTTGGCATCTGAGTATCTGACCCATTTAACTTTGAATATATCCAATATGCCATCCGGGTTCAAGTTTCTATCAGAGTAGAATTTGATTTTTATTTCTCATACAAGATTCTTATATACTCACGCGCCATTCATCATGAACATGAAGAGACGCGCACACTATCAACCGCTAGATCCTTAATGAACGGTGTGATATAATAGTTGAAAAGTAAAACTGTTACGTTTCACGCGCTTCTCATGGTTATAAGATAGCCGCCTCAGGTCACGTGAGTGCGCATGTTAGTCTTTCTCTCGCTAAATCTCTTACCGCACGCCCGATTTCAATTTTATCAACACCATCAAAAGCCTTCTCTCACATACACACACACACTCCCTCTCTCTCAATCTGCCAAGTGATGTCGTCGTCGTCGTCGTCGTCGTTTCGAGCTCCGGCGGGTGCCGCCACTCTGTTCTCCGCTGATCAGAAGATCAGACTTGCGAGACTCGACGTTTTGAGATCTTCTCACTCGGCTTTCTTAGGGAGGAGAAATCCACGTGGCGTCGTTTCCGTTCATCCTTCCTCTTCTTCGTCTAGTCCTTCGCCTATCCAAGCCGTCTCCACGGTGAGACTCGATCTCTTCGTATTAAACATTCCTAATGATTCTGTTATTATGGACTGATTGATACTAATCTTAGTGAGTTTGATTTATTGTTTTATGATGCGATGATTAATTTTATGAATCGAGTTTAATTAATCAGGACACTGATACTAATCATCATCCACGTGGCGTCGTTTCTGTTATGTATAGCTTCTCTAAAGCGATGATTAATTTTATGAATCGAGTTTTTGTTTTTTATTAAGTTTAAGTTTATGTTTTAATCAGCCTGCGAAGCAGGAGACAGCGACTAAGCGGAGTAAAGTGGAGATAATCAAGGAGAAGAGCAACTTCATAAGGTATCCACTCAACGAGGAGCTTTTAACAGAAGCACCAAACGTCAACGAGTCAGCCGTGCAGCTCATCAAGTTCCACGGTAGCTACCAACAGTACAACAGAGAAGAGCGTGGTGGAAGATCTTACTCCTTCATGCTCCGTACCAAGAACCCTTCTGGCAAAGTCCCTAACCAGCTCTACTTAACTATGGACGACTTAGCCGATGAGTTTGGTATCGGCACGCTTCGTTTGACTACTAGGCAGACGTTTCAGCTCCACGGTGTTCTCAAGCAGAATCTCAAGACCGTGATGAGCTCGATTATTAGAAACATGGGTAGTACTTTGGGTGCTTGTGGTGATTTGAATAGAAATGTTCTTGCTCCTGCTGCGCCTTATGTGAAGAAAGACTATCTCTTTGCGCAAGAAACGGCGGATAATATTGCGGCTCTGCTTTCTCCTCAGTCTGGGTTTTATTATGATATGTGGGTTGATGGGGAGCAGTTTATGACTGCTGAGTCTCCTGAGGTGGTGAAAGCTAGAAATGATAACTCCCATGGGACTAACTTTGTCGACTCTCCTGAGCCTATCTATGGCACTCAGTTCTTGCCGAGGAAGTTCAAGGTGGCTGTGACTGTGCCTACGGATAACTCTGTTGACCTCCTCACCAATGATATTGGCGTTGTCGTTGTTTCAGATGAAAATGGGGAACCACAGGGTTTCAATCTTTATGTAAGTTGACACTTCTGTATACTTAATATCATGTTTGTTTCGCTTTGCCTTTTCTTTCAGTGTTCTTTTTTTGGGTACTTTTTTTTTTTTGGTTTGGAACTGTTGAGTGTTGACTATAGTGGCTCATCTTGTAGGTTGGTGGCGGTATGGGAAGAACACACAGAATGGAGTCTACTTTTGCCCGCCTGGCAGAACCATTAGGTTATGTTCCGAAGGAGGATATTTTGTATGCCGTGAAAGCCATTGTAGTAACACAGCGAGAGCACGGGAGAAGAGATGATCGTAAATATAGCAGAATGAAGTATTTGATCAGCTCCTGGGGAATTGAGAAATTTAAAGGTGTTGTCGAGCAGTACTATGGTAAGAAGTTTGAGCCTTCCCGTGAACTTCCAGAGTGGGAGTTCAAGAGTTACTTGGGATGGCATGAACAGGTATTGTTGCTGAAAAAACTTACGTAAATTCCTTCAGTTTCAGAATTTGGCTTAATCAGCAATGTCTTATTATTCTCAGGGAGATGGTGCGTGGTTTTGTGGGCTTCATGTAGACAGTGGTCGTGTTGGAGGTATAATGAAGAAGACACTGAGAGAAGTGATAGAGAAATACAAAATTGATGTCCGCATCACACCAAACCAGAACATTGTATTGTGTGATATAAAGACCGAGTGGAAGCGTCCCATCACCACAGTGCTTGCTCAGGCCGGCTTGCTGGTAAGTAATTTGTTATGTGACCATAAGTTATGCAAATCTATTGCTATTGTGACATAATCTGAGGAAACCCTGCTTTACTTTGTGCAGCAACCTGAGTTTGTTGACCCACTAAACCAAACGGCAATGGCTTGTCCAGCTTTTCCTTTATGCCCATTGGCAATAACCGAGGCAGAGCGCGGGATCCCCAGCATTCTAAAGCGAGTGAGAGCTATGTTTGAGAAGGTAAAATAGCTATGTGAAGATAACTTACTTTTAACTTTGTACCATCATTACAAGCGATTGATCTTGATGTGAAAAAACTCCTTTGTTGGATCAGATTGGTCTAGAGTACGATGAATCTGTTGTGATAAGAGTAACCGGTTGTCCTAACGGATGTGCAAGACCGTACATGGCTGAGCTTGGTCTAGTCGGTGATGGTCCCAACAGCTATCAGGTATGTTTCGAGCACAAGCTGATGTGAATAATGAGAACAGTGTAGTACGCAAGCTAGCCTCATATTCTCTGATGTTGTGGGGATCCGCAGGTTTGGCTAGGAGGAACACCGAACCAGACACAAATAGCGAGGAGTTTCATGGATAAGGTGAAGGTTCACGACTTAGAGAAAGTCTTCGAGCCATTGTTTTATCACTGGAAAGTCGAGAGACAAACTAAAGAATCATTTGGAGAATTCACAACCCGCTTGGTAAGCATCACATATAACTCTCAGCCCCACATAGTGACAATTTTATTTTGAAGAAATGCAAACAAAAATATTCACTGTGTTTTTTTGTGTTGCAATTATGATAATAAAATTGCAGGGATTCGAGAAACTCAAGGAGCTTATAGATGCCTATAAAGGAGGTCCTCAATAACGAGCATGTGATGGAGAAGCTGTTCTTGTTTTGTACCCGTTTGAATTTTTAATTTCGCTTTGTCTTGTGTTCTAAGCTATATACCACAACAATAAGCTCTTTCTCTTTTCATTATCTTTTATGTAATTTGATCTCTGGCTTCTTGCTCGTTTTTGCTGTTATTCTGCATGATCTTCATTGTTGATCTCAGAATGTTAAGAAGGTAATAACAACCAAAGAGGTCACTAGTTTAAGAAAATGATATGCTTCAAACAAAGAGTTTACTAATCAATCATAGGACAATTATGTGAAACAGTATAGTGCAAAGAGAAACACTAGAAAGATAACAGTATTAGGCCAAACCGCAGGCTTTCTCATTGGGCCAATTTGTAGCTTATTTAAGATCCATAACGTTTTCAAATAAATATTCTATTAGCCCATTTAACTAACGTTAAGCCTAACGTTTGTCGCAAGTCGCAACGCTGGAAAAAATGCGTTTTCCGAAACTAAATATCTTATAACGAACGAAAAAACAAAAAAAAAAGATATTTATAAAGTTGCAGCTAAACCCTAAATTTGAATCTCTCCTCGTTCTTTCTCTCTTTCTCTTTTTCTCTCTCTTTAACCGCCGCCGACGACAGCAACAATGGGTGCCAAGGCGAAGAAAGCTTTGAAGAAGAACATGAAGAAGATTACTGCTTCCGCTGCTGCTTCTTCCTCTACTCAGCTATCTGTTCCCCAGAACCTCAAACCATCAGCTGATTTCTTGGTATATTTTTTCTTCGATTGCTTTTCACCTTACCTTCAAATTCGTTACTTGAATCTATTCCTTCGTGTCTGTTAATAGCCACTAGGAGGTGGTCCAGCTCGAAAAGCTCCAGTGACCAAAGCTATAGAGAGTAAAGCCACGGTGCTATACATCGGTCGTCTCCCTCACGGTTTCTACGAGACTGAGATTGAAGGTTACCTTTTTTACTTGATTACCAGCTAAATTGATTATTGTGTTTGGTCACACACACTGATAAACGGTTTGTATATTTTGGTTTTTAGCTTTCTTCACGCAGTTTGGAACAGTGAAGAGAGTTAGAGTCGCACGAAACAAGAAGGTTAGTTATACATTCATTGTGGACTTTTTTTGTTTTCTATATTCTCGAAGGTTATATTTGTTTTCTGATTACATTTTCTTGTTTGTTTCTAATAGACTGGGAAATCAAAGCATTTTGGATTCATTCAGTTTGAGGACCCTGAGGTATTATATACTTTTGAACCTTTAGAAAGTGGTGAAACTCTCTATATGTTCCTGATTGAATTCTTAAATCTTTTTTCTTTGCATTTGGTTATTATATGTAGGTGGCGGAAATTGCAGCGGGTGCAATGAATGACTATCTGTTACTCGAGCATATGCTTCAAGTTCGTGTTATTCCACCAGAGGATGTTAAACCTAATCTGTGAGTGACTTCTTGAATCGTCTTTTTATTGTAGTTGGCCTTTCTTTGTGAATAGTTAATTGGCATATCCAGTTCTGTAAGGTTAGCTACCTTGCTTTAACTCTCCTTGTAATTTAGCTTGATACAAAAGGACTTGAAGAATTGTCTTTAAGTATTTGTATTGATCATAATGCTTTTATGTCCTGAATGATTGTATTAGGTGGAAAGGGTTCAAGTGTCAGTACAAACCAGTGGATTGGGTTCAGATCGAGCGTAAACAACACAACAAGGTAAATAATCTTATTCACTTTCTTCTTGTTCTCAGTTTACCATTTGCCTTGAGCATTTAACTTTAACATTTGATTTCTCTTATGTATACAGGAAAGGACACTGGAAGAACATAGGAAAATGTTGAACAAGGTTGTGAAACGTGATCAGAAAAGGAGAAAGAGAATCGAAGCTGCTGGAATTGAATATCAATGCCCTGAGCTTGTAAGTATCCATTTTCACATTAATATAAATCGAAAAATAACTACTAAACCGCATGTATCTTTTTGTTGCTGCTTACAGGTTGGAAATACACAGCCATTACCTAAGAAGATCAAGTTTAGTGAAGACGAGTAACCGAAGCTGTGGGAAAACAAACATTTACGATAAGCTTTTGTTTTTATATGGTATCTGGTTTGTTGTTGTACTTCTGACATCGGATCCAGAACTCAAAACTTTATTGCAATGAATATGTTTTGAATCTTAAATCCTCTGTATTGCATCAATATACTTCAATACAACTGGTGCTAGATTCTCTAAAGTAAAACCTCTCTTGCCATCTCTAACTGAAACAGTTGCAATGAGAACAAAGTTTTCACCATTCCCTACATCAATCTCATACAACTCAGCAAACACCTCTCTAAACACATACTTCAGCTCTTCATAGAATCTCTTACTTGGAGGAATAACATTGATAACAAAAACCCCACCAGAAACAAGCACTCCCCTTGCAGCAAGCAAAACATCTCTCGCCACAAACTCAACCGGAGGAGCACTCACGCCGTGAATCGGATCACTCGAGTCAAGATCAACCATCAACACATCAAACTTTCTCTCATCATCATCATCACTACAAGAAAGCCTCTTCAAGAACTCAACACCATCTCCAACATGAACACTCGCAAACCCTTCTTCCAACCCAAAGTACCCCCTAGCGATCCTCAACACTTCAGGATCTATCTCCACACCTGTAACCTCAAACCCTAACTCTAACTTCAAGAAACTAAGCAACCCTCCACCTCCAACACCAATACACAACGCCTTTGGCTTACCTCTCAACTCATAACCAATCAAAGAAAGACTTGCAACCATTGGTGCTAAGTAAGGATGCACAAGCTCCCTAAGCTGAAGCTTAACCTCCTCTCCACTTCTTCCAGGAACAATCTTGATTTCGGATTGAACTAAATTAGGCATTCTCTTAAACCTCAACCTCCTCCTAAACTCTCTTACACCTAAATCCATCTCAATCTCTACATCTTCGATTAACATTTCACCTACGTAAGGTCCAACGGATCTCTCAATCTCTACTCTCGATACGACGTCGTCCTCGTAAATCAGAAATGGTACTTCTTCTTTGGTTAGCGTTTTGGGAGAGAGAGCTATAACGAGAGGTTTCAGTCTCTGCTCGAGTCTCTCGTTATCTTCGGTATCGGAGGCGCCTCCGATGAGTATCAAACGAGAGATTTCGGGGAGGTTAAGGAGGAGCTGGAGATGGCCTGACTCGGTGGAGAAGATCCAATCGGTTTCTCGGTGCTTCGGGACGAGCATGGCGGCGGCGATTCGGGTGGATGAATGAATCGGTGAGTCGAGGACGGCGACTCGGAGGAGATGTGACGGTGAATTAGGGTTAGGGATTGTGAAGGAGATGAATCGAGAAGGAGAGATTGTTTCGAAAATTCTCACATCAAGCGCCATCACTAATTTTTCGATTTCACCATCTCCAACGAAAGGTCTCGTTTTGATGGTTCTAGTAAACCGGAATAAACCAAACCAAACCATAACAAATCAGTCATGTGACTTGCACGTGACTAAATTTGTTTTTTTTTTTTGCTGATGCTAGTTACCCGGATTGAACCAAACCAGAACAAACCAGTCATGTGACTTGCACGTGACTACTAATTACTCATCATCTCTGCAAGCAAACATGGTAGAAGAACCAAGCGTTTTATTAACAAAAGCGCAGTTTCTCATTACACTTAAATGGCGGATAATTCGTGGGATAAATGTGTGGAAGAAGCAGTGAATGTGCTTGAATCAAGACAACTCCTTCGATCTTTGAGACCCATTTGTGTGTCTAGTCAAAAAGATGAAGGAATGGTGAGAAGCAGAGGTAAAGAAGGAGACGAATACAAAGTGTTCGATGGTATGTCTCAATGGGATCGGACTTCGGTAGAGGTTTCTGTCTCCATACCCACATTTCATAAATGGCTTCATGATGAGCCCAGCAACGGTACAAGTTTCGGAGTTTCCAAAGTTTTGTTTTTTATCTTTCTTCCTTTTTGAGTTGGTTAGGTAAAGGTATGGTTTTTTTATACTGACAGGAGAAGAGAGTTTAAGTGGAGAAGCATTGGGTGAATGTAGAAAAGAGCGTTTTAAGAAGCTACTTTTATTCTCTGGGAATGATTATTTGGGTTTGAGCTCACATCCTACAATAGCAAATGCTGCTGCAAGCGTATGTTTCCAAAACGTTTTCTTGCCAACGAATTAAAGTACACATTTTCTCCACTGCCTTATGGTTCTTATGCAGGCAGTTCAAGAATATGGTATGGGACCTAAGGGTTCTGCGTTAATATGTGGCTATACCACTTATCATCGTTTGCTTGAGTCTAGTTTGGCTGAACTGAAGAAAAAGGAGGTAAAAACAAAACATGAGTCCCTTATATTGATATATATATATCACAAGATGAAAGCAGATTGATGTGTCTTTGATATTTCTAGGATTGTCTTGTTTGCCCTACTGGATTTTCTGCCAATATGGCTGCAATGGTTGCAATTGGAAGTGTTGCTTCTCTTTTGGCTGCTAGTGGGAAACCTCTGAAGGATGAAAAAGTGGCCATCTTTTCTGATGCACTGAATCATGCATCAATTATTGATGGTATCCGTCTTGCTGAACGACAAGGAAATGTTGAAGTTTTTGTATATCGACACTGTGACATGTATCACCTTAATTCGTTACTGTAAGTCCTTCACTTCCACAACTCCTCCTCCCTTGATATATATTTTCATTTCTGTCATCTGTAATTGTTTGGACAGATCAAGTTGCAAAATGAAGAGGAAGGTTGTGGTGACTGATAGGTTAGTCACATTTGCTACTTACTTACTGCTCTTGATCTATTATATTAGTTATAAGTTAGTACTTTAATGTTCCTGTCTGAACATAGTTTTGTCCCTTTTGCTTTTTATTCACATGTCGCTATTTATAGATGATATCTACAGAGGCTAGAATTTAACTCAATATGCTTGTCAACTCCTCTGCTTGGTTGAGACTATGGACTTATGAAATGAAGTTATAATGGTTGGTTTCATTTCGTATCTTTTGACAGCTTATTTAGTATGGACGGTGACTTTGCACCAATGCAAGAGCTCTCTAAGCTTCGGAAAAAGCATGGCTTCTTACTAGCCATTGATGATGTAAGTTGGTCGAATATTCTCGTTAAAACGTTGAAACTTCTATTTACTGAAGAAATAAATATGACTTGATTAATCAGGCTCATGGAACATTTGTTTGTGGAGAAAATGGTGGTGGCGTAGCTGAGCAATTTAACTGTGAAGCCGATGTAGATATATGTGTGGGCACTTTGAGTAAAGCAGCTGGGTGTCATGGCGGATTCATAGCTTGCAGGTATACATACCCATATGGTCTGAAATTTTTAAACTAATAGTTTGTTTTGGTGGTAGTTGAGGTCTCTAAGGTTCATGAAAGCTTTTGATAAACTAGACTAGTAGTAGTCAGTAACAGCTTTATTTTTTTCGGAAACAGCAAGAAGTGGAAGCAACTGATCCAATCAAGAGGACGTTCATTCATATTCTCAACAGCAATACCTATCCCGATGGCTGCAGCTGCTTATGCAGCAGTTGTAGTGGCGAGGAAAGAGGGATGGCGAAGAAAGGCAATATGGGAGAGGGTGAAAGAGTTTGAGGCATTATCTGGAGTTCGAATCTCAAGCCCCATTATATCACTTGTTGTCGGCAATCAAGAGAAAGCCCTTCAAGGGAGCCGGTTCACACACTCTTTCTCTTCTTTTTCTTCCTCACAGATGCACACACACACACATACACACTCACACACTCACACACTCACACACACAGAGTCTTATAGCTGATTGACTGCTTCAACATTGTTGCAGGTATCTACTAAAATCAGGCTTCCATGTAATGGCAATAAGACCACCCACAGTGCCACCCAATTCTTGCAGGTAAACAAACAAAGAAACTTCATACTTTTCCTATGAAGCTAAACCATAATTATCATATGAATCTCGATGGAGCTCTTCTTTGTGCAGGTTAAGGGTGACCTTGAGTGCAACACATACCACAGAGGATGTGAAGAAACTCATCACTGCGCTTTCTTCTTGTTTGGATTTTCACAACACCAATCACATTCCTTCCTATTTATCTCCCAAACTCTAGAAACTTTTTTACTGTCTTAATGATTTGATCACTTGAAATGGAAACTTTCATGTACTGTTGTAAAAGCCCTACTTTTGAAAATGTGCAATGCATTTTAACAACTAGTTACATTACATCTGAATTTGATGGTCTCCCAATGTAAAACAGAAAACAATGGAGTAAAAAGACAGTAAAAGCCCAACTAGTGGATCAATATTATATTGGGCCAACAAAGTAAAAGCCCAACTAGTGGTAGTATCACAGACCCATACGATTGAAGAAGATAAAAGAGCAACGGTATTACTACGTTGTGAAATTACTTTAAAATATATCATCGTATTTGTATAAAATGGTAATCAATCGCACCCAAGAAACGTAAACTTTATACCAAATGAAAATGGAGAGTACTTTTTGTATCTTTTCTGAAAAACATAATTTTAGAAATTAAAGATACACATTTTCACAATTTCAGACGTTATACTATGCTTTCTAAACATAAACTCAGATTTTTTTGACATACTTTTAGAAACTAAAGATACACATATTCACATACGTTATACTAAAAATTCTAATAATTATAAATATGCAGCAGACACTTGTTAATCCAACCAATTTAAAAATTCTTCTTCTTAATCACTGATATTCAAATCCTCCATAGTTTTAACCTCAAGTAAAGAAAAGCGCGCCAAAAATGTTAGACCTTATCTTCTTCACTCTTCTCATAACCGTTTTTATCTACACACTCACCCGAATAACTCACAAATCAAAGCGCGCGAACCTCCCACCGGGCCCACCGGGTTGGCCGGTAGTCGGTAATCTGTTTCAATTCGCGCGCTCCGGAAAACAGTTTTTCGAATACGTCGACGAGATGAGAAAAATCCACGGCCCGATTCTCACGCTACGCATGGGAATCCGAACCATGATCATAATCTCCGACGCGAATCTCGCGCACGAGGCCTTAATCGAGCGCGGGGCCCAATTCGCAACCCGACCCGTCGAAACTCCGACCCGAAAAATCTTCAGCTCGTCCGATATCACCGTCCACTCCGCCATGTACGGTCCCGTGTGGCGATCCCTGAGGCGGAACATGGTTCAGAACATCCTGAGCTCGAATCGGTTGAAAGGATTCGCCTCCGTTAGAAAATCCGCCGTTGATAAGCTCGTGGAGAGGATCAAATCGGAGGCTGAGGAGAACGACGGGATCGTCTGGGTGCTTAGAAACGCGAGATTCGCTGCGTTTTGTATTTTGTTAGATATGTGTTTCGGAGTTGTGATGGATGAAGAATCGGTTGAGAAGATGGATCGGATGATGACGGAGATCTTAATCGCCGTCGATCCACGGATCCACGATTACCTCCCGATTCTAACACCGTTTTACTTTAAAGAGAGAAAACTAGCTCTCGAACTTCGCCGGAAACTAGTGGAATTCGTCGTTGAGTTCATTGAGAAACGTCGATCGGACAAAACGGCGTCGTCTTTCGCTTACCTCGATACGTTATTCAATCTAAAAATCGACGGGAGAGAAACGACGCCGTCTGACGAGGATCTCGTGACTTTATGTTCAGAGTTTTTAAACGCAGGCACGGACACAACGGGGACAGCGATCGAGTGGGGGATCGCGCAGCTGATCACGAATCCGAAGATTCAATCTCGTCTCTACGATGAGATTAAATCAACGGTTGGAGATCGAACCGTCGAGGAGAAAGACCTGGACAATATGGTCTTTTTAAAAGCTTTCGTTAAGGAGATTCTCCGTAGACATCCGCCTACTTATTTCACGTTAACTCACGGCGTTACGGAGCCGACGACTCTCTCGGGTTACGACATTCCCGTGGGAGCCAACGTGGAGTTTTATCTTCCCGGTATGAGTCAAGACCCGAATATCTGGTCTAATCCGGATAAATTCGAACCGGACCGGTTTATTAAAGGTGGTGAAGACGCTGATTTAACCGGTGTAGCGGGAGTGAAGATGATGCCGTTCGGTATCGGCCGTCGGATCTGTCCAGGGCTTGGGATGGCGATCGTACACGTGGAGTTAATGATTGCTAGGATGGTTCAAGAGTTTGAGTGGAGCAAAAATCCACCGGAGAGTGAAGTTGATTTCGCCGGAAAGTTAGTCTTCGCGGTGGTGATGAAGAATCCCTTGAGAGCCTTGGTCAAAGCTAGGGTTTAACAGTCAATGATTCGATTACTTGCAAACCAAGTCTCTTTTTAACTTTCCTTTTTATTGTTGAGTAATTTCCTTTTCAATTTAATTTTCATTATTAAGTAAACCGAAGAAGCTGCTAAACCAAACGAATACAGCTTGAGTAAACCGGTCTAGGGCTCAGGTGGTTATGAGTAATTAGCTTCAGAAAAGGAAAGTTTAGGTGATTAATCATCTAATTACGGATTAGCGGATGATTAACAAAAAAGGAAATAAACGAAGCCTTGCCTATAAATAGTGATACTGTTCATCATTACGATCATTCAACAAAGAGTTTTTTCATCTTCTCTCTGTGAAAGTAATTATGGGAGGCTTGAAAAGAAAGATACCTACAGACAAGAAGATAGAAAAGAAAGAATCCAAATCCGTTGCTTTCTCCAAACGACGCAGAGGTCTTTACAGCAAAACCGCGCAGCTATGTGTTCTCTCCGGGTCTCAAGCCGCTATCTTAGCAACTCCACCATGTTCCAAATCCAACGTCTCCTTCTACTCTTTTGGTCACTCTTCCGTTGATAACGTCGTCTCTGCTTTTCTCAAGAACCAGCGTCCTCGAGAAGATCATCTAGGTTCAGAGTTTTGGTGGAATGACGAGCTTCTTGCTGAGTCAGAGGATCCGGAGGAGTTGAGTGAGGCGGCTGGCTCTATGTCGAGGATGATACAAAACCTAAAAGGGTTGCGTTCAAAGGCCTTGGCGAAGAAGATGAAGGGAGTTGTTCTTGATAAGAGTCAAACCCTAAATCTCCAGTCTAATTATGCAAGTAGTAGCTGCATTCATGAGGGGGTTGTCAAGAACTTTAAAGAGGAGGATGTTGTTAGACGTGAAACCCTAGGGTTTCAACCTTCTTTGGCAAGTCTTTGCATTCAAGATGTTTCACGTGAGAATAATGTGGAAGAGTTTGTCAGCAAGAGTGAGGAGAATGATCAGATTGTAGCGTGTTCTGAAAGCAACAACAACGGTTTACTTGGAAACCTGGATGGGTTTAATCTTGAGGATGACTTCATTGATATTGAGATGAACTCTGAAGGCTTTATAACAACGAAACTGGAGATGGATGATGTGTCAACGAATCAGTACTCGTCCACTGGTTCTGAAGGTGCTGAAGAGGGAGCAATGGTGGTGATTCACTCAAATAAGGATAATAATGAGATGGTAGCGGTTTCTGACAGCAACAAAGGAGACTTGTATGGGTGCAACCAAGAGTTTGATATTGATCAAATATTTGATCTGGTGGCGTGTACTGAAGATCTATCCATGAACTCTGAGATGAATGATGATGTGTCCATGATGATGAATCAAACTTGTTGCGCTAACTCAGAAGCTGTTGAAGATGGAGGAGTAGTGTTACACAAAGAGTTGGAACAGGATAATCTCCGCTTCTCTGATTTTTTCAGTGGCTTATTCTTCAACGGTGAAGTTTGAAAGTCATCCCAAGATAATAACACGTTAATGTATGGATTTATTTCGGGTAGTGTTGGTTAAAAATGTAGCTTAACGGATGATCTGGTTTGACTTGGGTCAATTTTCCATGCTTTGGATGTTGAACGAACTCAAACCGGTTTAAATTTCGGTTTATCTTAATAATAAAACCTTCTTTTACTTCTTATTCTTTCATCCAATTTTGTAGTACATACAGCATTTTATCAACTTCATGGCTTGTCTTAATCTCTATGATGTTTTCCACATGAATCCTTCTAATATATGAGCATTACAAAAGTAAGCATAAAAGTTGGCAAATACAAAATTAATATATAAATCTATTGATGAGAGAAAACTACAAATTCAAAAAAAGATACTCTTATTATTTTAATCAATCATACGAGATCAATTATGGTAACGAATGCATGAACTTTGTATAATGTAAAAAAAATACAACATAATACACAAATCTGATTCTTGACCAAAAACAAAAGAATATATTCCAATTTGGTTTAACAAGAAACCAGACCTAAAACAACTCGTTAACTCCTGCAGGAGCAGCTAATCATCCACAGTGAGCTTCTTGTCTACGATTGAGAAAGATCTGTAAAACGCCTTGAAATGTCTGTACGCTATGTCTATATCGTCTGTTCCACAAATCTCTCTCACACTGTTTCACAAGCAACGCCCTTAGAAGCTGAGTCTTAAGGTAGTTGATTAGGAAACATGAGTCATTAATATACCTATGCATAGAAAGCTGAGCTATGCCACAATCAACGGTTCGAATCCCGACTCCTGAAGCCAATATAGGTCCTATTGTTGATCCACATCCCATATCGTTTCTCACCACAAAGTCCTGCACGAGTATCAAAATTCTAATTGCATGTTTACCATTCTCAAATATGGTTGGATTAGTGAAGAGCATCTAGAAGATCCTATGATATGTAGATTCCAAGAACCAAAGAGAAACTGCTTCCAAAATTTTGAACAGAAAGATGACAAAGACAGAGACCTCTTGGGGCTTAAAGAACATCTAACCTGAATAGGAAGATCATGGAGCTTTGCTACTTCTTTGAAAAGAAAAGAAGTGATCCCACTAGTTGCATAACGCTGGTTTGCGTTATGTTTGATAACCAGACCCTTGTGTAGTTGAGGACGGTGGTTCTCTTCATGCTTGTCTGCAAAGTTCGGGTGCACTCCATGAGCCATATCTGCAGACACTGCAACGACAAGAAATCCATACACAAGTTTCAACAAAAAATAAGAAAAAAAAACATTCTGACTGCGTTTTGCGAAGGTAATAACATAAGCGTACCAAGAAAAGATTTCCTGATAGCACGGTCAAAGGTACACTCAGTAACCTGCGCATTTCCTAGGGAACTCACAATCCGTCTCATGGCTTGAAACATGGTGGGTGCACCTGCACCTTGACATGAATCTGAACCTACCTATTGAAACATAACATTTATACAAAAAGACTTAAGACGTTTCTAGTACAACCCCAGCATAAAGCAAAACGTTATGGAAGGTAGAATGCAAGTCCTCTTTATTTAACAATTGTCAGGTGGCTAATAAGGTATCCAAACTGAAGCAACCTGAGAAATCTATGATAGGAAAAGAGGATACCTCCTCGTTGTCAAATAAAGCAATCATTCGGATACCATGTTCAGTCGATAAGTTTTCCGATGATGCACATGAATCAATGAGAGCTCTCAAAGCGCAGAAGCTCGATGCAAGATTATCAAGTCTTCCAGAGAATATGAATTCATTGTTTGCTCCTCCAAGGCAGCTAGGTTGGGTGTCACAGATATTTAACTCAAGACTCACTATGTCCTCGGGCTTACACTCCAGGTCATCTGACAAAATCTGCAACACAGTCATTAAGCTTTTATGATACTTGTGAATTTTTACGGTTGTTAAAATAATCCACGTCAGACATTCAGAGAATATAAGTGATGATGGCAATGATAATAGGAAGTTAACACGTTTATAAAGAAATGATTTCTCAGAAACATAACTCCATAATTCTTGGTAAAAATTCTCATTTGTGTTATACCTGCATAAGTAATGGATGATGAGCATCTTTGGAGGAGGGAGATACGTTTTTGTCCTTTGATTCAGCCGAGGTTTCATCTTGCTTCGTTGCTAGTAACGGAACAAGCTGAGTCTCCAAATTCGGTTTGAACCCATCACTGTTCACTGTCCTAAAAACAATACAGGAAGACAAAACAGCAAGAGTGAGCTTTCAACACTAGTTCTAATGCATTAGTCTAAAACTCTTCTAGACTAGACAAGCACATAAAAATAAGTAAGTATACCGATCAAGATGAATGGCCAAAGTGGGGACTCGAAGTAACGGTCTTTTGACTTTGACAAGCCTATGAACAAAGGACCCATCACTAGCTCTCACAATAGCTCTCCCGGCAACACTCAAGTCACGATCAAACCAGGTATGCCACAAACCACCACCATAAGTCTGAACATTCACCATGAGATAACCAGACTTGGAAGAAGCTGACTTTGGTTTAAGTTTAAGACATGGACTGTCAGTGTGAGCAGCTATGGCATGAAAACCATTACCAGGAACATACCTAACAAAAAATGAACCCAACAAATAACCAATCTAAAGAAAGAACCCTTTCACGATTCAATTTTCAATCATTGAGAAATCGAAGTAAAGAAACATAAGTGAATTTGGGAACTTACTTATCTCCGACAGCAAAAGCAACAAGACAGGACATGTTACGAGTAAAGAAGTAACGGCCACCAGGTTTGAGATTCCAGTCATCGTTTTCACTAAGGAGATGGAACCCAGCATCCAAAAGCTGTCTCTTAGCCTCAGCTGCAACTCAAATAGATGATTTAAACCACTAAACCGAAATTAAATTACGGTTAACTAACAAACCAAACCAGTAATTAAACCACTAAACCGATATTAAATTACGGTTAACGACACTAAATATAGATCAGTCAGAGACTCTAAATACCGAAACAAAACCAAGATCTATTAATGTATATGTGAATTCCGGTTTAGTCTAAGTAGATTAGCTGGTTTACTTGATTTCGGTTTGGTTTACAAGTATTGTAATTGTATATAAACATCTTGTAACAAACTATTCCGTTTGTGGAAAATAAGAGATCAGTTAACCAAATCTCTCTTTGCTCTCGATCTCTATTATGGTATCAGAGCTTTCTCTGTGATTTTCATCGATTCTTCTTCGTTTTTCTTCAATTTCTGCTCGATTATCTTCGTTTTCACTCTCAATCACTCATATCTAACCTTCCGCAAGCTCGATTGAAGTTGAAATGGGGAAGAAAGGGGGAAAAATGAAGACACGAAGCTCCGTTTACGATGACGATACTGGATCTGCGTCTAAACCTTCAATCGGATTTCAAATCAACGATGAACCTAACACAGCGATGACGAATCAACAACAACCTCGACGATCGATGACTCCGGGAACGATGAACACTCCGATGAAGTTCTCCGACTCATACGATAGCATTCACAGTCCATTCTTCTTGCATTCCGCTGATCATCCAGGTCTAACTATTGTAGTTCATACTCTTGATGGAAGTAACTATAATAGCTGGGCAATAGCGATGAAAATTAGCTTAGAAGCGAAGAATAAGTTGAGTTTTGTTGATGGATCACTTCCTAGGCCATCGGTTGATGATAGTGTGTTTAAGATGTGGAGTCGTTGCAACAGTATGGTGAAATCATGGATTCTAAATGTCGTTAGCAAGGAGATCTATGATAGTATTTTGTATTATCAAGATGCTACTGAGATGTGGGATGACTTGTTTAGGCGTTTCAAGGTTAACAATCTGCCACGGAAATATCAGTTGGAGCAAGCTGTTATGACTTTGAAGCAAGGAGAACTTGATCTTTCAACATACTTCACGAAGAAGAAAACTCTGTGGGAGCAGTTAGCTAACACAAAATCGAGTGTAGTGAAGAAGTGTGATTGTGATCAGGTGAAGGAATTAGTTGAAGAAGCAGAAACAAGTCGTATCATTCAATTTCTTATGGGATTGAATGATAACTTCAACAACGTTCGTGGACAGATTCTCAACATGAAGCCAAGACCAGGACTCAATGACATCTACAACATGTTAGATCAAGATGAGAGTCAACGAGTATTAGGAGCTACACAGAAGTTAACTCTTACTCCATCGGCTTTTCACACTCAAGCATCTAATGTGGAGCAGAATCCGGCCTTATTGGCTCATGGAAGCTTTCAAAAACCGAAGTGTTCTCATTGCTATCGTATTGGACACACGGTTGACAAGTGTTACAAAGTTCATGGCTATCCACCAGGACATCCACGAGCTAAGAAGAACAGCTCTGTTGGGAATGCGAACTTAGCCTCTGTTGGATCAAATATGCCTGTGAAAGATCAGGGTATTGGTGATGTCAACAACAGCATGTCTAAGGATCAACTCCAACAAATGATTGCGTTTTTAAGCTCTAAACTTCAGTCCTCTGGGGTTACGTCATGCGCTGAAAAGTCTAATGCCTCAACCTCATCTTCCGTACCAATGATCTCTCAAATTTCTGGTACATTTCTTTCACTATATAATCTCTCCTATTATGACATGTTGACTTCATCTATACCTCGTGGAACTGAGCTGTCTCTTAGTGATTGGATCATAGACTCAGGAGCTAGTCACCATGTTACACACAATAGGAGCTTATATAGAGATTATCAAACCTTAGAAAACACATATGTTACCCTGCCTAATGGTTACACAGTTAAAATATCTGGAATTGGTTACATTCAACTCACTGATGCGATCTCTCTCTATAATGTTCTGCATATCCCTGCATTCAAATTTAATTTGCTTAGTGTGAGTGTAATAACAAAATCTCTGAATTCTCAAGTTAGTTTTACTTTTGATTCTTGTTTGATTCAGGCTCTTACTCAGGAGTTGATGATTGGTCGAGGTAGTCAAGTTGCCAATCTTTATGTCTTAGATCACAATAAAACACATGCTAATCTTGTTGGTCATAGTCCAGGTAAAGTATCTGTCTGCTCTAGCATGCTTCTTGATCCTTTGACATGGCATAAAAGATTAGGACATCCATCTATGAAGAAGATTAACTCTCTATCTGATATTTTACTTATACCAAAAGAAAAATCTGTAAAACATTCTAAAGTTTGTCATGTGTGTCATTTGTCTAAGCAAAAACGAATTCCGTTTATTTCTCGTAATCATCTTTGTTCAAAACCTTTGGAATTACTACACATTGATACTTGGGGTCCTTTTGCAGTTCCTACTATTGATGGTTTCAAGTATTTTTTGACTATTGTAGATGATTTTAGTCGAGCAACGTGGGTTTATATGCTGAAACAAAAATCTGATGTTTTACATGTTTTTCCTGGTTATATTGAAATGATAGAGAATCAACTTCAGACTAGGGTTTGTGCTGTTCGTTCTGATAATGCCAATGAATTAAATTTCACCACTTTGTATCTTAACAAAGGCATTAAACCATTTCATTCATGTCCTGAAACTCCTGAACAGAATTCAGTAGTAGAGAGAAAGCACCAGCACTTGTTGAATGTAGCTAGGGCTCTTATGTTTCAATCTGGAGTACCTTTAGAGTATTGGGGAGATTGTGTATTGACCGCAGTGTTTCTTATTAATAGGTTACCATCTCCGGTTTTAGACCATAAATCTCCTTATGAGAAGTTGACTTCCAAAGTTCCAGAGTATCATTTACTTAAAACCTTTGGCTGTTTGTGTTATGCTTCCACCTCTCCTAAGTCTAGAAATAAGTTTGAACCCCGAGCTAAGGCATGTATTTTCTTAGGATACCCAGCCGGTTACAAAGGTTATAAACTTTTAGATATAGAGACACGCTCAGTTTCTATTTCTAGACATGTCATATTTCATGAGGATATTTTCCCTTTTGCATCATCTAACATAAACGATGATGTCAAAAGTTTCTTTCCTCATCTTCATTCACCTGCTCCTATAGATGTTCCAATGCCTCTTGTGCACACATCTTCTGATACTCATCTCCCTCGGGATGAGTTATCTTCTGTGGTTTCAATTCCTACTGAATTGAAATCCACTCGTCAAAAGAAAAAGCCTTCCCATTTGCAGGATTTTCATTGTTATAATAATAGTTCTACTTCTATATCTGACCTTTCTATGCCCTCTACACATCCTAAACACACTTCTCCTTATCCTCTTATCAATTTTATTTCTTATTCATATCTAGCTGAGCCTTTTCGTGCCTTTATTAATATCATCACCCCTATGAAGATTCCTACACGGATCTCTGAGGCTTTGGACAATCAGGTATGGCGTGATTCTATTGGGAAGGAGATTGGTGCTTTTATACGTACTGATACTTGGAGTATTACTGAGTTACCTCCGGGTAAGGTAGCTGTTGGTTGTAAATGGATTCATACAATCAAGTATAATGCGGATGGGACAGTAGAGAGACATAAGTCACGGTTAGTTGCAAAAGGATATACGCAACAAGAGGGAATAGATTATAATGACACATTCTCTCCTGTGGCTAAGATGGTAACTGTGAAGCTCATTTTTGCTCTTGCTTCTAAGATGAATTGGTGTCTACGTCAGTTGGATATCTCGAATGCATTTTTAAACGGTGATCTAGATGAAGAGATATATATGAAGGTTCCACCTGGTTACTCTGAGATTCAGGGGGAACGTATATCATCTACAGCCGTGTGTAAATTGCATAAGTCCATCTATGGCTTGAAGCAGGCATCTCGTCAATGGTTCCTTAAGTTCTCTACGACTTTAACGGCTCTTGGATTTGCTCAATGCCCTGGTGAGCATACTCTGTTTCTCCAAGAGTGTCATGGGAAGTTTCTGATTGTTACAGTGTATGTTGACGATATTGTGATCGCAAGCACTTGTCCAGAAGATGCTGAAGAGTTGATAGCAAAGCTCGCTGCCTCATTTCAGTTACGAGATCTTGGTCCACCAAAATTCTTTCTTGGGATTGAGATTGCAAGATCTACTGAAGGCATAACGCTGAGTCAACGGAAGTATGTATTAGACATGTTGGAAGCTTCGGGTTTCTCTGATTGCAAACCTTCTTCCATTCCTATGGAACCAAATCAGAAGTTGTCTAAAGAAGATGGTATTATTCTGGAGGATAAGAAGCAATATAGGAAGCTAATCGGCAAGTTACAGTATCTCACCATCACGAGGCCCGATATCTGTTTTGCCGTATCTAAACTTGCTCAATACTCTTCTGCTCCACGCGATGTTCATCTCAAGGCACTTCATAAGATTTTGCGTTATTTGAAAGGGACTATTGGTCAAGGTTTGTTCTATGGAACTGACTTCACTTTTGACTTGCGCGCTTTCTCTGATTCGGATTGGGGTCAATGCACTGATGATCGACGATCAGTTACAGGGTATGCCTTGTTTCTTGGCAACTCTTTGGTGTCGTGGAGGTCTAAGAAACAGGATACGGTATCTTTGAGTTCTGCAGAGGCAGAGTATCGCGCGATGTGTGTTACATGTAAGGAGATCCTTTGGATGACACAGGTTCTGAAGTACTTACGTGTTCCTTTTACTCTTCCAGCCTACCTTTATGGAGATAACACAGCAGCACTTCACATTGCTAGTAATTCTGTGTTTCATGAGCGAACAAAACATTTTGAGTTTGACTGTCATAAGGTTCGAGAGTGTCTGGTGAAGGGTATAGTGAAGACATTGTACGTTCGGACAGGTGATCAACTAGCTGACATGCTTACCAAAGCTTTATATCCAGCTCCTTTCCGGGAAAACTTGAGCAAGATGGGTGTGATAAACATTTATGCACCTCCATCTTGAGGGGGAATATTAATGTATATGTGAATTCCGGTTTAGTCTAAGTAGATTAGCTGGTTTACTTGATTTCGGTTTGGTTTACAAGTATTGTAATTGTATATAAACATCTTGTAACAAACTATTCCGTTTGTGGAAAATAAGAGATCAGTTAACCAAATCTCTCTTTGCTCTCGATCTCTATTAAGATCAGACAAGGGGCTTCACTAAATTTACCAGTGGCGTGAAACTGAGTCCAGGATTCATTAAGATAATCCAGAAGATCTCCAACAATAGAAGCGTTGGAATCACCCTGGGAGGAGGAGGAGCAGAGGGTTGGAGAGACGGCTGAGAAGGAGCGAAAGGGAGAGCGATGGAGATAAGTAGGAAATGAGAGACGTCGAGGGAGGTAACGCGTATGGTTTAGGATCGTTGGAAGAGAATGGTTTAGTGGAAGGCGAGCTATGGCTGCCATTAATGTGTGTGCCTGCTCTTATTTTTTCTTTCACAGTTCACCGTTCCTTTCGATGGAGTTTCTCAAGCTCAAGATAAAAGTCTCAAGCGAATACAATTTATTAAACTTAAAATAAATTAAAAAAAAAAACAATAACAGGCTCATGTTGGGCTAAATATAAGAATACAATTTATTAAACGGGCCGTCGAAAAAAAGGAATATATAGAAGTAAGATATTTCATTTAAAGCCCAATAAAAATCGGTGAATATCCTCCGAATCGAATGGAATAAATATCCGTTTCGCGCGCTTGCTTACGTAAGACAACACAAATAATTGAAGGTGACGTGGCATTATCATCATGGCGTCTATATTCCAAAAGTCTTTGTGTATTGGGTCGTCTCCGCCTCTCCCCGGAGACTAATAATTTAAACAAAGACCTAAAAAAAAGGTAAACTGCGACGAAGCTTCATGAGTGGGTCCCACGTTTCCCGTCTTTACTTCTTTTACTTCACTCCACCGTGAGAACTCTTCTTCTTCACCACACACACACACACCAACTACTCTCTCTCTCATCAGCCTAAACATGGCTGAACTCATAGGCGGAGAAGTTGTCACAGAACTCGTGAAACAACTCTTCGCCGTATCCAAAAAAGCCATCAGATGCAGAGGCGTCGCGGAGAATCTCGCCACAATGATCGAAGGAGTCCAACCAACCATCAAAGAGATCCTCTACAGCGGCGTAGAAGTCAGCGCCCACCGCCAAGTTCAACTCCGCATGTTCTCCGAAACCTTAGACAAGTGCAAGAAGCTCACCGACAAGGTCCTCAAATGCCACCGATGGAACATGGTTCGTCAGCTTTACCACGCCAAGAAGATGGAGGATCTCGAGAAGAAGATCGGTAGCTTCATCCGTGGCTTGCCTCTCCACGTTCTCGCTGACGTTCATCACCTCCGCGCTGACTCTGAGGTCCGGTTCGATAGGATCGATAGGGGTTTTGATAGTTTGAGTGAGAAGATGGGGTCTATGAAGATTAAAGGAGGGGGGTTGGTTCAGGAGGCGATGAAGACTGCTGAAGCTACGATGGAGATGTTGACGGATGGTGATTTGGGGAACTTGGGGGTGGGGTTGGATTTGGGGAAGAGGAAAGTTAAGGAGATGATGTTTGGTTTGAGAGATGAAGGTGGACTTGTTGGGATCTCAGGGATGAGTGGTTCAGGGAAAACTACTCTTGCTAAAGAGCTTGCAAGGGACGAAGAAGTCCTAGGTATGTTTTGTTATAACATGCTTCTATGTATGTTTGATTATGTTTTGTTTATCTGTTGCTGAGTTGTTTGGTTGAGTTCTTGATGCTGGACTCTGTTTTAGAACAGGTCCTAGTTATATATATAACCTCTCTGTTTAAGCCTTGTTGTGCTTTTGCTATCTTTGTGATCTGTTCTAGAGTTCTTTTAATAGCATGTTTGTTGATATGATTTAACATGGTGGTTCTGTGTACTTATGTGTGTGTATGTTTGGTGATGTCTTGTTCATCTTAGATGAACTATTGCTTAGTTTGTTTGGTTGAGTTCTTGATATTGGACTATTCTTTGATGAGTTCTTGATATTAGACTATGCTTTAGAATCATAAAGATTGTTGTTTCTTAGATGCTTATTTTTACAGGCCACTTCGCGAAACGAGTTAAGTTTCTGACGGTCTCACAATCTCCCAATATTGAGGAACTGAAAGCCTTAATATGGGAGTTTCTTACTAGCAATGAAGATGGCTTTGGTGCCATTCTTCCGGAACCGGTCGGTCAGACACGGTGGCTATTGATACTTGATGATGTTTGGACAAGGGAATCACTAGACAAGCTGATGATGTTTAAGATTCCTGGGATCACAACTCTTGTGGTCTCACGGTCTAAGCTAGCAGATCCTAGAACCACCTATGACGTTGAGTTACTAAGTGAAAACGAAGCAACGTCTCTCTTCTGTCTCTCTGCTTTCAACGAGAAATCAATACCTTTTGGATTCAGCAGAGAGTTGGTCAAGCAGGTACTAATCATAGTAACATTCTTTTTTTTTTGGTTTCAGTACTCATGTTGTTGACTCTCTTTTGGTAAGGTTGTTGCGGAGTGTAAAGGTCTACCTTTGTCTCTAAAAGTTGTTGGTGCTTCATTGAAAGGCCGACCTGAAAAATACTGGGAAGGTGTAGTGACCAGGTTATCAAAAGGAGAACCTGCAGATGAAACTCATGAGAGTAGAGTGTTTGCTCAAATAGAAGCCACTCTAGAAACTCTAGACCCCAAAACCAGAGAGTGTTTCTTGGACATGGGTGCTTTTCCTGAAGATAAGAAGATCCCTCTTGATGTTATCATCAACATGTGGGTTGAGATGTATGATCTTGAGGATGCAACTGCCTTTGCTGTTCTTGTTGATCTATCAAACAGGAACCTCCTTACTCTTGTCAAAGATCCAAGGTAACATTTATACAAACCAACTCTCTATCATCTCATCTTTTTTGTAGTCACTTAACTAACTTACTATGGTTAAATTTGCAGGTTTGGTGCTATGTACACTAGCTACTATGATATTTTCGTGACGCAGCACGATGTACTAAGAGACCTAGCACTTCATCTTAGCAACCGTGGGAGAGTTAACAAAAGAGAGAGGCTATTGATGCCGAAAAGAGAGTCAGTGCCTCCTAGAGAATGGGAGAGGAGTAATGAAGAGCCATACAATGCACGTGTGGTCTCCATCCACACAGGCAAGAATCTGTTAAACGACTATCATCTAATCACTAGAATATAACGTTTTAACATGAACTTATGTTTCTTATTACAGAGGAGATGACTGAAATGGAATGGTTTGACATGGAACTCCCCAAGGCAGAAGTTCTAATACTAAACTTCTCTGCTGACAGCTACGTATTACCACCTTTCATTGCTAAGATGGGGAGACTTAGAGCGCTGGTGATTATCAACAACGGTATGTCTCCTGCGCGTCTTCATGACTTCTCCACATTCACCAATCTCGCAAAACTCAAGAGTCTCTGGCTTGAGAGGGTTCACGTCCCTGAACTCTCTACCAGTACAGTCCCCTTGAAAAGCCTCCGCAAGATGTCTCTCATCCTATGCAAGATCAACAACAGTTTTGACCAGAAAGCAGTAGACATCTCCCAGATCTTCCCAAACTTATCTGATCTCACAATAGATCACTGTGATGATCTCGTGGAGCTACCTGAGACAGTCTGTGGAATCACATCTCTCAACTCCATCAGCATAACAAACTGTCCACGCATCAGAGAGCTGCCTAAGAATCTGAGTAAGCTCAAGGCACTTCAGCTTCTGAGGCTATACGCTTGTCTAGAGCTGAAAAATCTCCCTGTAGAGATCTGTGAGCTGCCGAGACTAAAGTACTTAGACATCTCTCAGTGTGTCAACTTAAGTTTTCTTCCGGAAGAGATAGGAAAGGTGAGGACACTTGAGAAAATCGACATGAGAGAGTGCAGCTTAACGAGCATACCTAGCTCTGCGGTTTCATTGAGTTCTCTACGTCATGTGATATGCGATGTAGAGACTTTGTGGATGTGGGAACAGGTGGAGAAGGTTGTTCCGGGACTTCGTGTTGAAGGAGCTGAAAAATGCTTTAGCCTTGATTGGCTCAACGAGTAGGTTTGTTGGAGGTTGGGAGCTTTGTTGTATAAATAACTCATTGCTAATCTGTAGCAAGTTTGTGTGTGTGTATGTTCCATTAACGCAGGCTCAGCGAGTAGGTTTGTAATCTCACATCATTAGATTTGGGGAGCATGTTGTATAAGCAACTTCTTGCTAATATGTAGCAAGTAGCAAGCTTAGTGTATGTTTTGTTTTCTCAGGAAATGTTTCCTTACAACCTCTTGAAGAGTTAAATGTTAGATTCAATACTAGCATGCTCTAGACTAAATTTTCAAAGGATGATAACAAACAAATCAACACAATAGACTTAAGAGATTATACATACTATTTAACAACAATTGGTAACAACAATTGGTCTTATAAGTGAACTTATTTGAAGCACACCATGTATATTATTATAAAATTTAAAAGTCTTCAAAACTGTTAAATAGAGTTTTTAAACTTATAGAATTTAACTTTTTAATCATATATATAAATTTTGCCAAAAAGAAAAAAGAAATTTAATGGTCAAAAATTGCATTTAGTATTGCCCACTCTCAAATGTGGAGAGTGGACTATTGTCCATCGAATTTCTTTGATTATGGATTTTTTTGGGAAAAAACTAGCGCGTTAAACGTAAGTGTAAACCAAAATGACATAAAAGCCCAAAGATAAGTTATACGAGTCCGGCCCACAAACGAAATCTGACAAACCGACATCGTTTTCTCCCTCTCTGCTCCTCCACGAGGGCTCCTCAGTCCCCAACGGCACTTCGCCGAGAGAACTTCCGCAACTCCATGTTTTTTCAACTGAGAGTCCATCACTCTCTCTACAACTACAACCGTGGAATCTCCTTCCTCTCCTCTTCCTACTTGAGAAGCCTCGCTACGACGTCGCTTTTATTAAACTCCAACCAAACCGTTACAGAGCCATTAGCCAAGTCAGACCTCGAATCAATAGTTCTCAAACAATACTCCCACGGAAAATTCCACAATCTCATCCAAAACGCCGTCGCTTTACCCTCCGTCCTTCTCACCGCATGTCAAAACCTCTCTCTCGCCGCCGCCAACTCGAGCGCTTCCTCCACCACCGAGTTAGCCGATCGCGTCTCGAGGAGATTCTCGATCGAAGAAATGGGACGGGAGATACGCGAAGGCGAATTCGATATCCGTTCCTGCTGCGTCGAATTCGAATCCGAGCCTCGTCTCGTTCTCCCTAATCTGAGACTCAACGTGTTGATCGAAGCGATTAGGATGATTCTCGAGATCGTCTACGACGATCGATTCGCGACGTTTTCGTACGGTGGACGCGTAGGTATGGGTAGGCACACAGCGATTCGTTATCTGAAAAACTCTGTGGAGAATCCACGGTGGTGGTTTCGTGTTTCGTTTGTTAGAGAGGTGTTTGGTGTTAGGAATGTTGATAAGCTTTGTAGGTTTGTTGAGGAGAAGATTAACGATGGTTTGTTGGTTGAGATGATGAAGAAGATGTTTGAGTTTGGGGTTTTGAGGGTTGAGCTTGGTGGATGTGATAAAGGGAGAGGGTTTCCACAAGAGTGTGGATTGTCTTCGGTTTTGATTAATGTTTATTTTGATGGAGTTGATAAAGAGATTCAAGATATGAGGTTGAAGATGAAGATGAAGATGAAGATGAATGATCCTCCTCGTGTTGGTGTTGAGGATGATAGTGTTTTTTATAAGCCAATAAATATTTATGCAGTTAGGTATTTGGATGAGATACTTGTGATAACGTCGGGTTCGAAGATGCTGACAATGGAGTTGAAGAAGAAGGTTGTAGATGTTTTGGAAGAGAGATTGGACTTGAGAGTAGATAGAGTGAACACATCGATTCATAGTGCAGTTTCAGAGAAGATTAGCTTTTTAGGGATGTATCTTCAAGCTGTTCCACCTTCGGTTTTGCGTCCTCCTATGTCTGAGAAGGCGGTTAGAGCAATGAAGAAGTACGAGAGGCAGAAGGAGGTTAGGAGAGTGGAGCTTAGAAACGCTAGGGAGAGGAATCGAAAGACACTGGGTTTGAAAATATTTAGACATGTGTTGAAGAAACTCAAGCAGAGCAACGGTTTCAGATGTGAATTTGAAATAGAGAATGAGGTCAGGGATATTTTCCGGAGTTGGGGAGAGGAAGTAATGCAGGAGTTCATGGGGTCTCTTGATGAGCGCTGGATATGGCATTGGCTGCTCACTAGAGGAGATTTTCTCTCTTTGAGACATATACGGGAGAAGTTACCACAAGACCTGATTGATGCTTATGATGAATTTCAGGAGCAGGTGGACAAACACTTGTCTCCGACCCAAGCTAAAAAGGAACTAGAAGATGAGGAGAAGAGAGTAGAGGAAGAAGAGGAAAAGAGATATGCTGAAAGGACGGTTCAGGATTTGACTAAGTTATGCATGAAGGTGTCAGCTCCTGAGGAACTTGTTAGAAAAGCTGTTAAATTAGTTGGGTTCACAAACAACATGGGACGGCCACGACCTATCAGCCACCTTTTGGCTCTTGAGGATTCTGATATCATCAAATGGTATGCAGGTGTAGGGCGTAAATGGCTTGACTTCTTCTGTTGTTGCCACAACTATAAGATGGTCAAAATCATTGTAAGTTATCATATGAGGTTCTCCTGTATTTTGACACTAGCAGAGAAGCATAGATCGACTAAACGAGAAGCTATTAAACACTACACGAAAGATCTCAAAGTGTCTGATCCTCACGGGAACGAAGAGGTGTATTTTCCTGGGGAAAGAGAGGTTAAGATGATGGGAGACAAAAACCTTTCAGACCCGAGACCTGTGGACGGGACACTGTCTTTGCTTTTGATCAGGCTTGCATCTGATGAGCCCTTGCATTCTTGTGCTGCTAGTTTCTGTGAACGATCAGATACAATCATGTACCGTATACATCTACTGCAAAACCGTTTGCAAATCAACCCACTTGACGAAGAGAAATGGGTTCGTGGCATGGGCACAATCCACTCAGCTTTGAACCGGAAATGCCTCCCTTTGTGTTCTGCTCACATCAGTGATGTATACCTGGGTAAAATGACTCTTCAGGATGTTGATGGTAGTTCATTCATCGATCTCAAGTGATTTTACACACACGTCTGTCTCGAAGGCCAAATGGATGAATACTTTGTAAGCTACTGTTTGGCTACGCAGTGCAATGGAAGCTTCATATATGTCAGCTGAGAATTAACTAAGCAGCAAGGTGGTTAGGGTGAGAAACGCAAAAGTTGATGAAACATGATGTGACCATCTGCATCGAGCTGAGCTGTTGCTTGCAGAAGATCGATTCAGGTATCGAACTCGGCACTGTGACCTACCAGACGCGGTTATGGGTGAAGTTTGTTCTTGGGAGAAGGTGAATATTTATCGAACTGAGTTACATATTAGTTTCTCAGTTGTATAATGTACGAATCTGGATCTAAGTATGCATGTTAATGTGCAGCAGCAACTAGCAAGCTTCTGTGTATTTTCCATTAAAGCACTCAAAGACTCAAGAGGTGGAATCATCTTTCACCCAACTTGTCATTCATCTTAAAGAATATGATTAGCGATGCTCTGTTTTTTTCAGGAAGTGTTCACTATTCATCTTCAACTTCTATATAAGATGGCTTATTAGTAGATTTCATATTACAAGATATCATATCCGTGATCTGTGCACCGAAGAGAACAAATACAACTCAGTCACATAAGAACCAAACCCATCCTTATTCTTTAGCCCCCAATGGTTCAGTTCCAGACAGAAATACTTAGCAGACGTGATGGTATTACGAGTTTCCACATAATATTCAACGTAGAAGACTTGATAGATCGCAACAGATGCGATTTCGAAAAGGAGAAAGAGCAGTTTTTTTTTGGTTTTGGAACAAACAAACAAAAGCTAATTAATAGCTGTCGATGTCAGTTTCAGGCCTTCTCAGAAAGTAACGGAGACAGTTTACCAACACCTGCAGAAGAAGTTGATTCCTTAGCTCTCTCTCTGTTTTAAGGTTTAAAGTACAAAGTAACAGAAAAATAAACTCACCTGTGACAACGAACTGTTTAGCGCTTGCCCTTGGTAGCTTACGTGGAACTTGTCTTTTGCAACCAATCCCTAAGAAATTTAATAAGACAACGGATTGTTATTATAAGGTGTGGAAATGGAACCACGCTATTATAAAGGTTTATGAGCTTTGAGTACTTCTGTGTCTATCTCCGCGGACTCAACGTCTATGTTGATATCTGCCATCACTTTTATCATCTCCACAACAAGACCTGGCCTGTCTGCTGTCTCTATGCAAAGCAGGCTAGACATAACATGAAACAGGGGAAAGGTTATGTCACCTATTTGGTCAGGCTACTTATGAAGTGACCTTGTAGTGTAGTTATTTTATACCTCCTCTTTGGTCCGTCTTCTTTCACATGTATGTGAGTTGCGATATCGACATCAATCTGTAATCATATGAATCAAAAACATATTTAAGATATCAGTAAAAATGTCTTTAACAAGAACTGCATGCAAACTGTTTCGATACCAGTTTAGCCATAAGAAAAGAGTTTGCATAGAAAACAGGACACAGTAGTATCATCCAACAAGCAGAGTAAACATTTACCTTCTTTTCTGGTGCCTTTATTCCAAATGTCTCACCCATTGCAAGTTGATCACTGCATTCCTGAAAAGCAAATAAAGGCAAGGTTCAAAATTATCGAACAGCTAAATGCAAACCGCATTGAATGTGAAAGTGTAAAGAGAAAGAAAGTTGAAGCAGACCGGATGGTATTTTAAAAGATTGTTGATGATGGTTAGTCGGATTTGCTCCAAGGAGTCGGGATCTTCCACTTTCCGACCAGTGTCTCTGGTGTAAAAAGAAAGGGTAAAATTAACTCCGGAATTTGTGACAACTGACAATTCAGGTAACAGAAGATAATACTTGCAAAAGACCAGTAATATTTCATGATAACAGAGTCTAATCTTGAACAGTGAAACGGTAAAACCAATACTACCATATTCTAAACCAAATTTCTAAGGGATGATCACAATTCACAAACAATCAATACAAGGGAGGTCTACAAGATTGTACATCTTACTGAACAAGTGAGAGGTCTAATAATAAGTGACAGGAAAAAAAAACACCTGAAGGCAAAAGAGGCGCAGGGAAAGAACTGCCTTTCTTACCGTTTTGTTATAGAGAATTTGGTCTGCTTAACGGATCCTTCAGTTGAAACTGTTCCTTTTATTACATCCAATCCCAAATCTTTCAGTGCCCTCATCTGCCAAACACGACAATGATTCATAAGATAAAAAAAAAAAAAAAAGGCAATGTTCCATAATATCCATAACTATAATCTAATACTGATAGTAAAAGACGCTACAAATCTCTGGTAGATCAAGAATAACTAAAGCTTTTCTCACACCAATAATAAAGAATATAAATAGCAAAGCAGGCCACAGAACCAGTTTACTTACAGTGTCAATGAGAGCCCCAAGACGATCTCCAAAACTGAGTTGAACAATGGTGGCTTCAGGGTCAGCATCCTGGTCTATCAAAACCATTGGCATTGGAACGAAATCATCATCATCATCTTCCGATTTCTGCGATATCAAATTATGCCAGCAAATGTCATCTACGTCAACACAAAACTACGTAGACCGTTTCCCTATTAAACATAAGAAAAAAATCAAATCACAAAGTATACACATCATCAAATCAACATTGTAGTCTCTACATTAGCTTCTGCGTGCATATACATGCACGTAAGCTCATTGTAGGTCAAAATCAATAGATTCAAGAACCATTAATAGTTTAATTGGGAAGGAAACAATTAGAAGGTTGGAACAAGTTACTGACCTGAGAAGATGGAGGTGTAACATTAGTGCTGTTAATCGAAGCATATACACGTTTCCTTATACTGCCATTTCAAATCAAAAAGGACAAAAGGGATGTGTATTAGCAGATCTCTGAAAAATCATACACACTAACGATTATCACAAAGCACACAAAGAACTTAAGATCAAGCAAGAAGACTAAAGATGTGTACTAAAGTTTACTAAAATGGAGTTATCAGGACGAGCAAGAAGACTAAAAAAACTTATAGCAATTGAAAAATGTAAGAGTGGTGACCTCCTCGTGGATAGACGGAAGAAAGCAGGCGATAGATCTGGAGGTGAAATGCGAGTGTGGCAGCTGATAGCGGAAGAAGGACGAGAAGAAGTAAAGGAAGCTAAATGAGAAAGAGAGAAGATAGTATTCGAGAGCGCCATTGAAGATTCGGATAGATTCTCTTCCTTCTTTCACCTCTCCCAAGTCAGATGGCGAGAATAATTGGCGTTTTGTGATAAGGAAGATGATGATGGAGTGCTGACTCAGAGTTGATGGTCCACCACCTACTACTAAAAAGGAGTCGCATATTACTGTATCTGCTAATAGGGGTGGGCACAAGCCAAGTAATTGTCATTTTTGGCCTACTTGTACTTGGCTTGGCTTGTTCAAGTAATTTGATTATAGTCTAGAGATTTTGATGTATAAAAGTAAAAAACATATAATAAAATCAAGTAATAATTCACGAGTAACAAGTCAACAACGCCAAGTAATTACTTTTATTTTAGTACTTGGTACTTGTCTTGTACTTGCAAGTAATTGAAATAAACGACTTGATACTCGACTTGAACAAAACGACTTTAAAAACCAAGTACGAATCAAGTAGCGAGTACAAACCGAGGAACAAGTAATTGTGCCCACCCCTCTCTGCTAAAATGAGTTTGTTATTAAACAAAGAAACTATTATTCGATCGGGCCCTAATGAAAACGAGTCTGGGTTCAAAACTAGTTAACGGCCCAATGGGCCTTAAACTAATGAACAAAGTCTCCCTTCAACCCCAACAAGGCACCTCTTTCACTGCAGATAGACCATTTCTACTTATCCGACTGATCTAACATCAAAAAAGAAAAAAAAGAAACGAATTCGAGAAAACTCAGTGATTAGTAAAAATGTCGTCGGCTCGTGCTGCGATCACACGGCTAGGTCAGATTGGTGCACCTCGTTCCGTAGAGACGACTCGAGGACGAGCGATTCGGTGCTTCAGCGACGACAAAGGTCGAGTGCTCAGCGAAGAGGAACGCGCGAAAGAGAGCATGTACGTACATTCAGGTTTCTTCTTCATCTTTCTCCTTCTAAGCTCTTTTTTTTTATCTCTGTATGGATTCTGTAAATGATGTTTTCTTATTGGATTCAGTTTATGGAAAGAAGAAACTTTTATCATTTCATCAACTTACACTCGTCTTTTTCCGTTGATGTTTGTTCAGTTGATTTATATGATGTGTGAAACAAATATGAACCTTTAGCAACAACATATCAAACAAACGAAACTGTCTTTGATGATTGTTTGCTTTCACTCTCTTGTGGAGAATCCAGAGGACAGCAAGCCTTGAGTTCATCACTCGCCCTAGCATCCAGGTCATAAGGCAAGCGATACTGAAAAAATAATGCCTTTGCCCTTTTGTGCCCTCTTGGTTTGAGACTTTGCACTTGCTTCCTTGTGTGTGTTTGTTTGTTTGTATGTTCTAAAGAAATCACGTTTTAGACGGAAAAAGAAAATGACTGCCTCAATTGAGAAAAACACCATATGCATTTGATTCAAATACCAAACAAATTATACACTTTCATCATCATTTGTATATGAATAAACACCCAATCCTATTTATATCCCTACTCACATAAAATGAGAAAAAAAAACTAAAACCATTACTAATTTCTTCCCTTTGTTCATCACACACATCCCAAAACCGAAATCCTCAAAAATCACCACCTGGAGTCAATTGCTGACCAAATCTCCGTCCTGACTTGTTGCTGGTGCTGAGGCTGAACAGTGCTATCCTGCTGCCCACTCCAGTCCATGTTGGAACTAGGCATAGCCAAGCTAGTATCAACCGTAGTTATGTCGTGTATGCTAGACCTTTTCCTCTCCTTCTTCACCGAGTTCCGTCTAAGGAAATATTTCTGAGCATGACTAGCGACTTGCGTGGGTGTCCTCGTTACCACCACGTTCCTAGATATGCTCCTCCAGTCTACTTTACCATATCTCTTTAATCCCACCAGAAACAACCTGCAACAAAACATTCATAGTATTTCAACTGTTTTAATCCTCTTAAATTTTCTGACCAACCAAAACACTAGCTTTTATGATTGATGCATACTTGTGTTCGCTTTCAGACCAAGGAGTTCCTCTTTTCCGCTCGCTCTCTCCGTGTTTAGACCCAAACGTGATCTGACCGGCTGAGTCATCCACATAATCCGGTACATGGACACGGCCAGACTCTATCTCTATGACATCATGCTCCAAGGCCTCGTAATGCTCCCTAACTTCACCAGCAGATCTCTGTAGCTGACCGGCTATAATCTCCCACCGGTTAGGAGATCCTTCAGGGAAAAGCACCAAAGCATGCTCGAACATCTTGTCCTCCGACCTTGTCCACTGACTCGACGCCATATCCAAAGATTTATTAGTGGTTCTGAACCAAAAAAAGAGACTCAAAGTGGAATAAACCCGAAATCTGATGTTGGAGAAACTGTTGAAGACTCTCAGGTAATTTATACAGATGCTCTTGTTTTTAAGGAGGAACAAGCAGCTCAGAGACTCACTTGGACACGGTTTCTCTGCAATTAGGATGTGTTTTTTGTATATCTCTCTTCCCTAATTTTCTATTTTGGAAATTTAATTTTAGAGTTACACACCTGACCTGACGACTGTTTTTTAGCTCCAGTTTGTATTACAGTTTTTTTTTTTGTATTGTGCTAAATTTTGTAGTTTGTATTACAGTTTAATCGTTTTATTATAAGCATTGCCACTTTTAGTATCCAATGACAAACGAACACGTAGCTACTTTTTTTGGGCTCACATTTGCGAAGGTAACCGACTTTGTCATTAATGCCCAATGCTTTGATCAGTGTAATTAATTCTCTCTGTTTCATTTTAATTTTAATTGACATTTTACATTTTTGCACACAAATTAAGTAAATATTTAATTTTACATATTTTCAAGAAAAAAATATAATTACCTATACACCTAACCACTTTTCAACCAATAAAAAATTAGAATATCATATAAAATTAATAAATTTTGTCTCGAAACTTGAAAACGATACTTATTTTGAAACGAATTTTTTTCTCCAGAATGACAATTAATTCGAACTGAAGGGGTACAAGTTTATTTACGTACTGCAAAATTTGACTAAACTTTGTGACAGTTGGGCCATTAATATTAGTCAAAGCTCAATTTGCAACTAAAGTGAAGCATCAAAAAGGTCAACACTTTTGACTCAACTAATTAAGTACACCATTCACATCTTTTTCATGTTTTCTCTTTTAGGGCCTATAGAGTATAACGTAGGCCCAATTCCAAATAGGCCTGCTGTCAAAGCCCGTAAGCTGAATAACAATTAAACCCTAAAGAGAACCTTTATATATAAGGAAATGGCAATTCTTCTCTTCCGTCTTTGCTCCTTCATTTTCTTTGCCGCCGCATCATCTTCGTAGCAGGTACTTTCTCTCTAAACCTAGACACTGAATCACTGTAGAGAAACCATAAGGAAAAATACAGAAGCTTTTGATCTACGTTTTTATTCTACTGTTGCGGTCTTTCTCTTTTACTGTGTGAGAAGTGTAGATTAGGCAGACTTATGTTTTGCTTGATTCGCCAGTGTTTGTTTAGAATCATAGAATTAGAAAAGCTAGTTGATTTGCTACATGATTATGATTCGTTCTTATTATTTTAGTTTTGTTGATGTATCGATGAATTAGATTTTGATAATGAAATGAGTTTCAAGCTCAGTGTTAATGTTGTTGATAAATGACTCTCTTGATTTGCAATTCTATTGACTCTCTTGTTATAACAGTTTATGTATTAATACTAGTTCTTTATGCTGATATTATTTATCTATTAATCTATTTTTAACATGTTCTTGCTAATAAGACATGAGTTACTTGTGTTGCTCTTCTGTTCTCAGGTAAGTAAGTTCAGCAGGTAAGAACTGAAACATGGGGCGTGTCCGAACCAAGACCGTGAAGAAATCATCCCGTCAAGTCATCGAGAAGTACTACTCTCGCATGACACTCGACTTCCACACCAACAAGAAGATCCTCGAAGAAGTCGCCATCATCCCATCAAAGCGTCTCCGCAACAAGATCGCTGGATTCTCCACCCATCTCATGAAGCGTATCCAGAAGGGACCAGTCCGTGGTATCTCACTCAAGCTTCAAGAGGAAGAGCGTGAGCGCCGCATGGACTTTGTTCCCGATGAGTCTGCTATCAAGACTGATGAGATCAAGGTCGACAAAGAGACTCTTGAGATGCTTGCTTCGCTTGGAATGTCTGACGTTGCTGGCGTCTCTGTGATTGAGCCTCAGACTGTGGCTCCTGCTTTTGGCAGGCCACCCAGAAGGTACTAAGGAGTTTGCTCATATCAAAGAGGCTGTTTTTTTTTTTTCACTGTTAGGGACAAAAAATGTTGCAGCTCTTTTGAGTGTTTGTCTTTTGATTCGAGACTTATGTCTGAAAGTTGAACTCTTTTTATATTCCATGTTTTTTTGAATTTTGATGATCATTGAGTTAACGAACACTTACTGATGTGAGCTTAGTTGTCACTGGAGATCAAAAATTTCATGAGAAAACAAATTGAATATCAAAGTTCTAGTTTCTAAAACAAAGATTATACAGTTTTAGAAGGGCAAATTGGTAATTTAACACATAAATTAGTGAAAATGATTATATGTAACATTCCGTTATAACCAAAGGAGAAAAGAAACCGAGAGAGAAAGTGAGTGATAAGAGAGAAATGGATAATGGAGGGAGCGTGTTGTCGCTCTCTGCTCCACACTTTCCTTACTCCTCCGCCACCATCCTCCGTCGTCACTCTCCGGTGGCTTCCATCTCTTACTCCCTTAAACCACAACCACCACAGCCTCCGCCCGAACCACCTGAAAGTCCTGACCTTCGCCGACCAGAGAAATCTCTTGCCCCTTCTTCTTCTTCACCTTCCTCTTCGCCTAAAACTCCTCTTAAGAATCCTCTCAAGGGTCTGACAAATCCCAATCGCTCCTCTGTCTCTCCTCTTGTTCAATCAGAGACTACCAGTAAAGTCTCTACCTTTGGCTCTGCTTTAGCTTCGAAGCTACGTTTATCCAGCAAATTATCTCCTCCTCCTCCTCCTCCACCTCCACCACCTGTGGAGGAAACCCAACTCCGAGATGAATTAAAGAAGCCTCCGGAAGAGGAAACTCGGAAGCAGGAACCGGAATTCCGACAAGAAGGGAAGATATTTGTCGGAAATTTACCGACTTGGATTAAAAAACCAGAGCTTGAAGAGTTTTTCCGACAGTTCGGTCCGATAGAGAATACCATTCTAATCAAAGGGCATCACGAGGTTGAGAAGAACGCTGGATTCGGATTCATCATCTACGCAACGGAGAAGTCTGCAATGAAGGCTGTGGAGTTCGACGGGGTTGAGTTTCACGGAAGAGTGTTGACGGTGAAGCTAGACGATGGGAAGAGGATGAAGACGAAGGCTGAGCAGAGGGTGAGATGGGTTCAACAGGAAGGAGGAGAAGAAGAAGATGCTAAGATGTCGAGTAAGTCGTCTTGGCATCAAGAGAGAGAAGGGTCAAGGAAGACACTACAGAGGATTTTAGATAGTAATGGAGATAATTGGCAAGCTGTTGTTTCAGCTTTCGAGAAGATCAACAAGGTTTTGTGTGTCTTTTGTTACTTCACTTATGCTCTGTTTTCGAATTTTATCACTGATTTTAATGTTTTATTCTCAGCCGTCTAGGACAGAGTTTGGTTTGATGGTGAAGTACTATGGAAGAAGAGGTGATATGCATCGAGCACGTGAGACTTTTGAGAGGATGCGTGCTAGGGGTATCACGCCAACGTCACGTATATACACTAGGTAACTATCTTCTTTTTGTTACAAAATGTATTATGAATGTAATTAGTTTGGGAAGGTTAAAAGAGGATTTGTTTGATGCAGCCTTATTCACGCTTATGCAGTTGGTAGAGACATGGAAGAAGCACTGTCTTGTGTTCGTAAGATGAAAGAAGAAGGAATTGAGATGAGTTTAGTGACTTATAGTGTAATCGTTGGAGGCTTCTCTAAAGCTGGCAATGCCGAGTAAGTAATTAAAAAAATTATTGTGTTTAATTATTCAAATCATTTGTTAATATAAACTAATTATTACATCTGATACTTTGTTGTCTTTGGAAGAGCTGCAGATCACTGGTTTGATGAGGCCAAAAGGATACACAAGTCCCTTAATGCCAGTATATATGGGAAGATCATATATGCACACTGGTAAGCACTGATGTGGTTTCTTGTGATTTGTATGTTTTGTCTTTAAACTAAAAGATATGGTCTAAACGATTTTTCAGTCAGACATGCAATATGGAACGAGCAGAGGCATTAGTTAGGGAGATGGAAGAAGAAGGTATTGACGCTCCTATTGCTATCTACCACACCATGATGGATGGTTACACAATGGTCTCTGATGAGAAGAAATGTTTAATTGTTTTCAAAAGACTTAAGGTTTGGGCTCTTCCTTACTTCTTCTTTAGTATTTGAACGTAAGTGAAGATAGTTTATTTGTTTGTTTTTGCTACAGGAATGTGGATTTACTCCTACAGTTGTCACTTATGGCTGCCTCATAAATCTTTACACTAAGGTAAGGAGAACAATACTTAGATGTTTTTCTTGGTATTGTGTCTCAATGCTCTTGCACTCTCCTCTTATTAGGTTGGAAAGATTCCAAAAGCTTTGGAAGTTAGCAGAACGATGAAGGAAGAAGGCATAAAACATAACTTAAAGACCTATTCGATGATGATCAATGGATTTGTTAAACTAAAAGACTGGGCCAATGCCTTTGCTGTCTTTGAAGATATGGTTAATGACGGCATGAAACCAGATGTTATACTATATAACAACATAATCGCAGCATTCTGCGGAATGGGTAACATGGAACGAGCCATCCAGACTGTTAAAGAAATGCAGAAGCTGAGGCATAGACCAACCACAAGGACCTTCATGCCTATCATACACGGATATGCTAAGGCCGGTGACATGAGGAAATCTCTAGAAGTTTTCGATATGATGAGAAGATGTGGATGTGTTCCAACCGTTCATACTTTCAATGCTTTGATTAATGGTTTAGTTGAGAAACGTCAGATGGAGAAGGCGGTTGAGATACTAGATGAGATGACATTAGCAGGTGTTAGTGCAAACGAACACACTTACACAAAGATCATGCAAGGATATGCATCAGTTGGTGATACAGGAAAAGCCTTTGAGTATTTCACAAGGCTTCAAAACGAAGGTTTGAAGGTTGACATCTTCACTTACGAGGCGTTACTTAAAGCTTGCTGCAAATCAGGACGGATGCAGAGTGCGTTAGCTGTCACGAAAGAGATGAGCACAAGGAATATCCCTCGCAACTCCTTTGTCTATAACATATTGATTGATGGGTAAGGCATCATCAAACTTTTGTAACCACTTCTTGGCATGCACATTCTTACTTCCTCTGGTGTATTGTAGATGGGCAAGGAGAGGGGATGTATGGGAAGCTGCTGATCTGATGCAGCAGATGAAGAAGGAAGGTGTTAAACCGGACATTCATACTTACACATCTTTCATTAGTGCTTGTTCTAAAGCTGGCGACATGAATGTAAGTTTACACATCTTTGTTTTGTTGTAAGCAGAAAGAAAACTTGTTGAGTGTTTTTTTTTTACAGAGAGCTACCCAAACAATCCAAGAGATGGAAGCATTAGGAGTGAAACCAAACATCAAGACGTACACGACCTTAATAAAAGGATGGGCTCGAGCTTCTCTTCCAGAGAAAGCCTTAAGTTGCTACGAGGAAATGAAAGCCATGGGGCTAAAACCAGATAAAGCTGTGTATCACTGTCTTATGACATCCCTTCTGTCTCGTGCTTCAATGGCAGAAGGTTATATTTACTCTGGGGTGATGTCAATCTGCAAGGAAATGGTGGAAGCAGGCTTGATTGTTGATATGGGAACAGCAGTCCACTGGTCTAAATGTCTGTGTAAGATAGAAGGTTCTGGTGGTGAGCTCACAGAGACATTGCAGAAGACTTTCCCACCTGATTGGAGCTCTCATCATCATCACCATAGCTACTTGGATCAGGTTTCTGATGTGGATTCCGAGGATGATTATAATGATGATGTTGATGGTGAAGATAGTGATGATGATGTTAACTCAGTTTCTGTTATTTTATCTTCCAAGTAAGAGAAGAAAAAAACAGAGTATAGAGCAATATCACATTTTTTAGTTATTGTTGTGTTTTTGTTACTTATTCCTGCAAATAAAAAAATGAAACTTGTTGAAAGTGAAACTAATTAAAATGAAATGATTGATCTGCTTTGTTTTAAAAGATGTCTCAACAAAAAAAAGAACATATATTATGTCAATATGGTGGTGATGTGTATGGTTGGTGTGGAGGCATCAGGTAAGAAGAACCCCTCTCTGAACCACCCATTCTCTGCGGGTCCATTGATGGGTAATAAGGTCTGTCCTGGTTAGCTGGTGCTGGGTGCATATAGTAGTTCTGCTGCTGCATTGGTGGAGGTAGTAAACCACTCTGAGCCGCCACACTACTGCCTTGTTGGTACTTCCAACTATCTTGATCATGTTTTGGAACGTGAGATCTTCCCCATGTGAGTTTTAGCCTCTGACCGTTGATGACTAGCCTGTTGGAAAGTTCTTGCATGGCCTTCTCTGCTTCTTGTCTAGTTGTGTACGTGACAAACGCACATGCTTTCTCCGCCAAGATTCTGATGGATTGGATTTTTCCATAAGGGTAGAACTGGTCTACTATGTCCTGCTCGAGAATCGTTCTAGAGTTAAGTCCACCAATGTAAAGCGTTTTGATGGTTTCATCCTCTGGTGGCTCCAAACTGCTCATCTCACCAGCTTTTCTAAGCAACTTCATTGCAACTGGATCGTTTACACTGTAGTAAAAAAAGAAGATTAATGAGTAACAGTTAAAACCTAACTGTTTCACATGCATAAATGCACAAGTACTAGGAACAATCATTTGAAAAGACAATAGCTTTACCCATAATAACGATCTTTTATGTTTTGGTGTGATAACTCTCCAGTCTTGGGCATCTCATGCCTGAATGCACATCCAACACCTCTTGTACACTTACCAATGGTGTTGAAACTGCAAATTTTTGGTTGGTTCTTTTCATAGTGTGGTTCTTTTCTTTGAAAGTTCAGAAGAGTATCATTAGGTCTCATCTTCCCGTATGAAGAGTCACAATCCAGTCCAGCATTAGTCTACAATATACTTAAACAAATCACTAATTAGGAAACTAGACTTAGTTAGCTATCAATCTTTCACTTAAACCTAAAAAAAAAAACTAAGTAACTGTGTAGCTAAACATGTAAGCATACCATTCGGTCATGTTCTTGAGCAAAATACTCTCTGTTGACATGGCTTCTAGGGATAGAGCCATGACTAGTAATGTTGAGTGTCGTGTCTCTGACTTGAACTGGAAGACCATACTCAAGATCAAGAAGACAAACTTGGCATACGTTCTTTAACTTAGAGCAAGTTTGGCAGATTTCGGTTTTCTTGTATCTAGCATTCCGGCCAGGTCTCCACCTAAACACAGTGAAAGGACGTGTACATACCTTGCATTCCTTGTCAAAATTCGCTAGTGCCTACACACCAAACAATGTATATAACACTTTAATATCAGCAGTTATAACCAATCAGAACAACTAGACGTTGTTGGATTTTATTAAAACACCAGCTTTGGTACGATTTTGATAATTTTATTAAACCCTAAACCTAGAGTACTAGCCAAGTTAGTTATAACCACTCCAAATATACAGAATATGAGCATCAAAGATTGTGTTAGAGGGATGCATGGAAAGGAGGAGATTCACCATTCGTAAGTAAGGATTGTCACCGAGGCAAGATTGGCAGAGAATTGGGAAATCTGATCGTTCCCATCCATTAGCTTCATGATCTCTTAGTATTCTCTGAGCCATATTGTGTTCTCTTCCTCCTTTGCCTTGTCGCACACGGATGTGACGCTATTTTTATTTTATACTAGGACAAATGTCAGTTTGGATTTAAAGTTAAATAAAAAAGGCTATTTTCGCATATTTAACCAAAAAAAAACTCGAAAGTTTCCTCATAACTATATACAGGATCCGGCCTACAATCAGTATGCTAGTTTTGATTGATCCATATATTTTCAAACCTATAATGAATGAGACTTAAATGTCATAATGTTGAATCAGAGCTGCATAACTAATAGTAATCAGAGTCTTTTGATGTCAAAAAATAATACTTTAGTAAAACTCATAATTAATTAAGAAAATCGACAAACTGGACTAATGTACGTCCAACATGTTTGATTTATTAGTAAATAAATCACTCTGATCTAAGATATCGATCATGTGCATATCCAGAAACTAACTGAAAATGTATCTGTAAATTTACATATATATTATATTCACGTAAACAGAACTGTGCATATCTCACTGAGGCTAATAACACCTAATAGAACAAACTACATTATCTTAGCAACACATGTTGTGACAGTTTTCTTACGTATAGTTTATCAAATTTTAATGTAACTCTTGTGTATGCCCATTAACGAGAATTATACTTTCTGTTCTTTAATGTACTACTATAGTTTTGAAGATATGAAAATCTGCAATATAATCAAATAATTCAGTTTGGAATCTTAATAAAACAGCAGTCAGAATCAACTTCATGAACCCATGACTTTTTATATATTTAATTTTGTAAATACTGAATATAAAAATTTGACCAATACGCTGCATGATACGTTAAACAAATCATATTAAATATAAACATGTGGTTCGTAAACGTACGTTTCACAAGTCACATGTTATAATATGCTTGTATAACAAATAAACATTCATACACCAACTAAATCATAATGTCGAAAGACGTATAATTGTCATTTATCATTGTAAAGGTTAGGATAAGAACATAAATAAAATGCATGAATAATGAATCAATCATGTAGTTTTTGTTATTTTAATTATGTTTATGAGTAGCGAAGCCTAGACAGAAGGAACAATATGACATGGAATCATACAATAATCTCCCACTTTAATTAGTACCTTCTTCTCTTCTTCCACTTCTGATTTCACCTAACTAATAAAGATATGGACTATCAAGATATTGAGCCCCTAACCCATTTTCGATTGCACTTGTGCAGGCAAGATATTGTCGACATCTTAAACTTTTATGCAGAGATTAATGAAGTGCGGGGTCAAGAAATAATTGTTTTGTATTTTTATTCATCAAATCGTTTGAAAACTGAAGTAGAAAAGTAACAAGTCAAAATCTAGTTGAGACAAAGCGAAGTAGTGAGGCGGTGCCCATGTGGCCTCCCAAAATTTAAGTCATAGGTACACACATATATGACCATAATTATTCTCATTAAAATTATTTAAGACTTCCCCAATGTCCATAACTATTTCACACATACATGACCATAGTTATTCCCATTATAACTATTTAAGACTTCCCCAATGTCCATAACTATTCATTCATAAATATGAACCCTTTTAATCCCATCCTGACTGTTGACAACAAAACTAGCCTTTATTGTTACTGTAAATAAGAACAATCAAAAAAGAACAGACAAAAGTCCATTGCAACAATATGTTCATGCTAGTGCATTCTAGAGACGAACCTATTATCAGTAGGTTTCCACTTTGCGCTCATGCATATAACTTGTGGAGTGTGTACGAGTGTATTTCATAGAAAGCATATAATAAATATTTGTACCAAACAAACCCATGAGGTATTAGTTATGTGACATGATAATTGAATATTAGTTCCAGATAGTTACAATTTTTTATCTAGCTTTATAAACTCATATAGTAGGGTCGAATAATGATAGACTAGTTACAAACATTTACAAAATCAAATAACTAATCATGTGGGTCAACGGGGTACATGTTGTTCCATGCATTGCTGGTTCTGCCTGTTGAGCTCGATGATTTCAAGTTATGCTCTTTTCATGCAATCTTGATAATCATATTTTAAATCAAGTCGCACATAATTGTACTTTCTCTTTTTATTTTTTTTAAATTAATCCTACGTTTTAAAATACTAAGCTTGATGAATTATTTACAAATGGTTTAGTTTTTAATTAGTAAAATCTCACAGAATCATATGAGTAGTTTGATAATTGGTAGAAAGCAAGAGGTCTCTAGTACCAAATTGTCAAAATTATGTTTACCAAATTTTTTTTGTCAAAAATAATTCATTACCACATTTACTAACCAGACTTATTAGAATCTCTACAGTATACTAATAATTCCATTAACTGGTTTACTTCATTACCCTTCCTCCGTGAATAAAACATTAATAAAAAAATATTGGCCATTTAATTAACCTCCTTTAGTTAAGTTAGTAATAACTAGTAATTAGTTAGCAAATATCAACAACATCAAGTCATCAACTATATTTTTTTGGTGAATTTCTTAAAATACTTTAGATGGTGATGGGTGTTGGGCCCAAATATGGCCCGCTAGCTGAGACTAATGGGCTAGAACGATAAGAGTTGACTATGGGCCACTGTAAGCCCATTGGCAATTAATCTTTTGAGAAAAGAGTCAAAAAGAAGCCGGAGGCTGTTTTTGCTAAGGAAGGAACGTCAACAAAACAGGTCACGGAGGAGAGCTCCGGACCTCATTTATAAATAGGT